TCTTTCTCCAGATTAAAATTGATAAAAAATTATTTGCTTTCAACAATGAATCAAGATCGCTTGGCATCGCTCGCACTTATGTCTATCCAATCAGACATTTTGCGTAGTTTGGAATTCGACAGCATAATACAAGATTTCGTTGAATCCAAAAATCGCAAAAAAGTAATATATTAGATCATAAGATTCTGCAAAATAATTTATTACCGAAAAATATTATATTTTTATTTGTATCTTCATAATTTTGTGCAAAATACACTTGTTTTTGAAGCTAAATTATTTTTGTCAACAAATTTTTTTCTCCCAATTTTTTCGTAGACCCTAGGCACGTGCCTAGTGTGCCTATAGGTTAATCCGGCCCTGGTGATAGATAACAAAGCTATTGTATTAGCTTACGTGAGTTCATAAATGAGAGTAAAGAGACTAACGAAGAAATATTGTTTACAAGAACTTTGATCACTGATATAAAAGGATCGTGGATTTTTAAATTAGTCGAAGACTATTTTAAGGAAAAAGAAATTCTCTTTACAAATGTAAGTGCTTAGGCTACAGAGGGTGCTCCTGCCATGTCTGGTCGTCACACTGGGGTTTCTGGCACACTTTAATAAAAAAGAAGTATCGGAGGTCATCACCATTCATTGTGCCATTCATAGTCAACATTTGGCTGCAAAAAAGTTGAGTGGTGCCTTGCATGACACTTTACAATTTGTTATTTCTGGCATCAATAAAATCAAAGCTAATTCTCTGAATGACTTTTTGTTCCGAGAACTTTGCCTTGAAAATGCTGAAGATTTCGAACGCTTGCTCCGTACATACAGTTGTGAGATGGCTTTCAAAAGGAAACTGTTTGTGCCGTTTCTTCGAATTATTAGACTCGGTTATTGAGTTTCTTGACACCACTGATCCTGTTTTAAGTGCGAGATTGAAGCAACGCAAGTTGGAAACTGTGTACCTGACGGATATTTTTGAAAAAATGAACGAAATTAACATAAAACTTCAAGTAAATAAATTCAACACTATCAAGGCTAAAGGAATCATATCTTCATTCATCGCCAAATTTGATATCTACAAGTCAAACATTGGTCGCAAAGAGCTAATGCAATTTCCAACTCTTAAAAAGTGTCCAATGGCAGATATCGAGATTCTCGAAAATAAAATCTTAATTTTTACTGATCACCTTGATCAGTTAAAAACTGATATGGATTCAAGATTTAAAGATTTGATGAAATTATAAATTCCGGATTGGATTTTCGATCCTTTCTCTTTTGAAGTTGGGGATAAGCTCACTTTATCTTTGCAGACTGAGTTTTTAGATTTGAAGTATGACTGTGAGGCTAAAGTCGTCTATTAAAAATAGAGTTACGAGTTAGCTTGGGTAAAGATTACAGACACTCATCTACAATTGTGGAAACAAACTGGCCCGCTTCTTATCTCGTTCCCGTCAACATATTGAGTGGAGAGAGTTCTGCCGCCCGGCTGCTCACAAAGCAAAGAAATAGGTTGGACATTTGCTTCAAAGGTGACCTGCGTTTAAATCTGAAGAACATAAAACCTGACATTCAAGCTTTAACTGAAATACGCCAAGCACAGGGCAGTATTTGAAGTGATAAAAATATACTTTCTCACCCCTCATTTTTTCCCCTCAAATTTTAGTTTTTAACTTTTTCTTGATTACATTAATATACGAATTTTAAAAAATATACTTTAGTTTTCGTTATTCCATTTTAAGTGTCATTTCTTTTGGAAAAAAAAGATACACAATTTTTTTAATTAATAAAAATGGCAGAATTGAAATTGCCTCCTTATTTGCATTTCAATTTAAATTAAAATCAAATATAACTTAGCATATCTTCAGTGTTTGGTCACTCACAAGCAGCAATGAATGGTTTTTGAGCAAAAACAGAAAGGGGCGATATGTGTCAGCCAACCCCAAGAGGGGGGCGATGATCCACAAAAGGTTGGGAACCACTGGTTTATTCGATTAACAAAACAATAATGAAGATAAACAAATTTGTGAAGGGTCCAATTAAAAGAAAAATCATTTTGTGAAGGGTCCGTTTTTAAGTTAAAATATTTTGTGAAGGGATTTATGAAAAGATATTTTGTGAAGGGTCCGTTAACGGACCTAAATTTCTCCTAAACAGACCTCTGATATAGATATATTGTATATATATAACTTAACATTACTTAAGACTTTGATTTTAACACTCTTCTTCCAATGACAATGGATTTTCAGATACACACAATTTTTTTATTGATAAACATAAGTCGAATCGCTTTTTATTGTTGGAGGAAAGTCAGTAGCTTAAAATAATATTAAATGCAATATAATACGAACGTTAAATATAAAAAAGTCAAATGTTTTGTGAATACAATATAAATTTATTATAAAAAAATATTATTGTGCCTAATTTTAAGTAAAAGTGTTAAAAAGGGTCAAGTGTTTATTATAACCTATAAATATATTTCTCTTGTTTGGCACGATAAACTCGGGTATCTATTGTTGACACTATAGATATTATTCATTCTGTTAGATTGTCTTAAGTAATAATTCAAGTAGTGTTGAAAAGTTAATCAAAAGCTAAGCATTTATTTAGAATTATTTTTAATTTTTATAGAAATAAAAACTTAATTATGAAAGAATTTCAAATATTGACAGAACGATACTTTGGTGCCGCATACTGTCACACGAATTATAGGTGAAGGAACTTGTCTTTTCTTTAGTGCTGCATGTATATATATATTAAACAGTACTCAAGTTAAAGATCAAGAAGAGAGTAAGGAAGTAGTTTAGCAAGTAATGGAGCATTGAGATGAGTTTTTCAATCTTATCTCACTACAGAGATGGAAACAATTTTAAAACATTTGCTGTCTACTATGCTACAATGTTCCAAACCCATAATTCTGGTGTTTTGTGTAATTTAGTGGCAGTCGGACAGATTTTAAATTAGTAAAAAATTAAATACACAAAGAACTTTGACAATATCGCGGGCAATTCTTGGAAATAGTTAAACTTAAAATCAAAGTGCCTCAGCGAAGGCAAAACCACAAGAAACAGCAAGGTGAAAAAGTTTGGTAAATATATTGTTTAATACTAATTAAGGTATTAGGATAGAACTAAGTGTTAAAAATTCAAATATAGTTGTGTTTTGCATTCAATTTGGTTACCATTAAAGTTTGCATGCTGTGCAAGATAACTCTGAAAAGTACCAAGCTGGTTGCCAAAGGTGGCAATTAAAATATTATTTTTGGTAAAGTTAATCAGTTTTGTGATAAATTTATATTTAACAAAAAAGAGCAAATTAAAAGACCATTCCAAAATCCTTCGCATCATTAAGTTATGCTGCTTTATGCTGGAAAAAAATATTCAGCAAATAACAGATTTAAACATAAGTAACATATTCATAATTTTATATTTTAAAACAATAAAGATTACACTAATTCCATGAAATGGCATTTATGAAAAGATAACTTTCTCACTGTAAACAAAGAATTTATCGATACAGATATTTTGTATCATAACTTTAAGAAAAGTGGTGTTTGATACAAACATTAAGATATATTTCTAAAAATGCACAGTGCAGAAATAAAAACACTTTGAACAACTTTTGATCAGATTTTTAAGTACTAGGACTTTAATTTAATGGCTTGGGGAGTGACCTCAAATATGCTAATTAATTAGCGCAGACGATATCGTAAGTTACGAAATAAGACACAAACACTTACTCTCTGAATAAACATACTTTTTTACAAATTGATTTCTATTTCCTACTCTCAAAATATAGTGAGTAGTTGCAATCTGGGAAATATGATCCCAATAGTTTGGTTAGGATAGTGGTTTTGAAAGTTTAGATTTCTCAATGTTAATTTTACTTTTTACATATTTTGCTATAGCTTGAAAACTTTTTAAGCAGCTTGAAAAATGTTTGCACACAATTATAAAATTCATTTATCCAAAGAAAATTCCTTGCAAAAAATAATTTTTAATAATAATTTAGTACTTTAATTAAAAGCAGTTGAAAAAAAATTTCATTGTAATATATACAATTTTTTACATAATATTAAAGAATGTAATTCTATTTTGCGAAATACAAAATATGAGCAAAATCGATAGAATAGTTCCAAAGAAAATAAATTTAAAATACATGACTTTTTAAAAATTTCAGTTTTCAGGAACTATTTAACCGATTTCGTTAAAATTTTAAGTTTTGCCACATAAAATTGGAAAAATTAAAAAATTGAATAATAAAAATATTAAAAATTATGTTTTGAAAGGAATTATGCTTGGATAAATTAATTTCATAGTTGCTAGCAAAAATACTTTAACCTGCTTAAAAAATTCTCGATATAAAGCAAAATATGTAAAAAGTCAGATTGCAGTTACCCCCTATATTTTGAGGGTAAGGAATCCAAATCTATTAAAAGGAAAGGTATGTATATTCAGAGAAAGTATGTTTTTGTGTCTGATTTCGTAACTTAAAATATCATTTGAAGAAATTAATTTGCAAATTTGAGGTTACTCTCGTGAAACATAAAATTTAAGTCTTATGTGAAATCTGACCATTAGATCAAAGTTATTCAAGGAGTTTTTTTTTAACGCACTGTAAATTAATGCTATTTAATGTTTAATTTCAAAAATTTATATCATATCAAAATAAATTTTATATCATATCAAAATAAAATTAATAAGTCAATTTAACAGCATGAAGGCTAAAAAACTAATAACCATTAAAAAATTATTCCATTCATTGTAGCATTATGGATTTCGACCAAATATAATAAAACAAAAAATTCCTTAATCAGGAGGTATAAAATAGCAAGTATACATTAGAAAATACACACCTCTTTTTTTGAACTAGGAGAATCTTTCTTCCTGTAAAATAAGAAGAAAAAAAATGCTGAATATTTACAAAATAGTTTTCCAAACAAAACAAAAAAAAACAGTATAACACTACAAATAATGACTAACTTTTTAGCTTCTGTATCTTTCTGTAAATTTTCTTCCTTAGGAGGTTCCTTATCTAAGAGAAACTTGTATTTTTAAGACATTGGTTCACAAAATAGAAAAAAAATTAAAAGGCAAATATACTTTATACAAAAAAATTTTCCCAAAATTCCATTTCTCATGTTAATTCTTTCCATTGTTCAAATTTAACTACATTTATAATATATAGAGCATTTAAAATAAAACTTACATTGTAATGATATTAAAATCAAGCACATAAAAAGAGACTAGTTATTTCGGATATGATAAAACAAAGTTCAATTTAAAGAATTCAGCAATGCTTGAAATGTGGATGCAAATTAAATTGAGGCTACATTCAAGGGGTATGACTAGTATTTACCTGAAATCACTTTTTTTCAATTTCTTTTTTTTTTTTTGGAGAAAAAAATTCTTAATATTTATGTTATTATTTCATGGCATTTATATTATCATCATTTAAATATTGCATAAACATTTACAGAACGATTTTTGCACACATTTTTTAAGTGCAATGCCTTCCAATTTTTTCTTATACTTTTTGTTAATAAAATAAGGCACAGTAATGAACTTTTGGAGGGATGTTTTTAAAAAATGTTACTTGCTATTTAATTTGTGAGTTGTGGAAATAAAAATAAGCAATAAAATGCATAATTACATGCTCACAAACCAATTTATTTTCTAAAATTCAAGCAATAAAAATTAGTAATAACAAGGAAAGAAATGAACTAATCAATTGATTAGTTAATCTATTAATATATATTTAAATTAACTTTTTAATGTGACTATATCAAAGAAATTTTGAATAATAAAGGTGTTTTTGTAAGCAATCAAAGTAATCAATTCCAAAATTAGAAGAGCAAACTTTAATACATCATAGAAAATTAAAAAGAAAGTAGTCTGGTAGAAAAAATGAAGTATTGCATAACCACAATTTAAATTTCATTTCTTTAAATTTGAAACCCAAATTTTTAATTATTTATTTACATGAGGACATTTCCATGTTTCATATTATTTTTCAAATAAGTTTCGCCTCACAAAATATAAATGTGTTTAAAAATGATACACACAAAAATTTAATTCTCTAATAAAAAGTTACATTTTAGTGGAAAAAATCATTTTATAATATAAATCTTTCACAAAAATTGCAAACAAAAACCTGTACATAGTTATTTTTATGATGATAAGAAATAACATAGTTAGTAAAATAAAACCAGCTCCAAACCTTCATTCATGAAATATCTAATGACAATTTTTTTATATATTATTTATTAACTTACTGGAAAATACATCCAAACAAGGCAAGTTCAAGTCATCAAATTCAACAGCAACTGTGTCATTTAATTTCTAAAACAATGAAAGAAACCAAGAAAATTTTTAAAAAAATTGCCATTAAATTTACAACAAAAAGTATATTTATCAATATTTTATTTATCTCAGTAATAATAATGATAAAGAATAATGTTTAAAATACAAAAAAAAATATGTATTAAATATCTTTTTTTTAAAAATTACAATAAGTTTAAAAGATAAAGAGAATTATAAAGAGTGACTAATTTTGTTAAAATGAAATTAAAAGGACACTTGTTATAAAGACATTATAGAGACATTATTATGACAACTTTTACTTTCAATTTTAATAAGATAAAGTTAAAAATAAAATAACGTGAAAATATAATAAAGTTAAAGAATCAAGAAAGAAAGAGAAAGTACACTTACAGAAGCAGGCGAGGCTCGCACTTGAGTTAATGCTAAATCATTTTTACTTTTACTAACTAAATTTTTTTCATCTGAGATTTTAGTCTTTTTTGTTTCCAAAATACTCTCATTACTAAAGTTTTCTTCATCATTAGCAATCAGCTGGGACACATTACTATCATTATTTACAAAAATGTTTTTATTTTGGACAACTTGGCTAGATCTCAAAGTAGGTGGTTTATTGTACATGGGAGTGGAATCCACATTAAACAATTTTACACGTTTCGGTTGTACCTGTGGGGTCAAGTTTACAATTTTGTCACTTAAATCACATCTGTCTGTGCAACTGTTACTCATTGAACAGAAACTTTTAACATTATTAACTTTGGCATCAGTGAAATTATGCCTGGTAGTATCAGGTTTTCTTTGTGACTTAAGAGACAGAGATGATTTCAATTTTCTTTCTTTCAACTTATTAGCGGATGCTCTTTGGTTAACAGGAGTGGCTGAAATTACATATTGAGAATCATCTTCGATAGGCAGTTTGAATGTATCTGTTTCGTTTGTTTTTTCTTTCTATTAAGAACAAATCAATATTGAATTTAAACTTCGAAGTAAATATACAGTGTATATAAATAAAATTGAAAAAATAAAAAGTGCATGAAATAAAAAAGCAAAAGTAAAAAAAAAAGTTTAAAAGAAGAAACAAATAATAAGTTTAAGAAATTAATTGGTAAAAATAGCAATTTGTAAACGAATTTAACTAAAAACTAATTAATCACAAAAAGATTTAACGCATATCTTAACTCGCATGGCTATATTTGCTAAAAGCGCTTTCTAACACTGTGACAATATCGCCAAAGCAAAATATATTAATACAAAAGTCTCATTCCTCTTAAGTAAAAAAACTAAAAGAAAAATTTTAAAAAGTAAAACTTCATAGTTAATGTATTATAATGCATGCAAAATATTATTTTGAAAAGTAATGACAATAAAAAAAATTCACTAAGCTATTCTTATATATTCGAACTTAGTTAAATTATAAAATTTTAATTGCATCGTAAGTAAGAGTAGCTTTTAAAGGAAAGAAATAAAAAGCAAGATGAAAAGTTGTAACTTTTTGTCGATGGATGTTGCTTGCACCAATCAACTAACGTTACTTGCCAAATTCCTTCATTTTGTTGACATTTGAGACTTTTATCTACACCTGTTTCAGTGAGCCTGTGGTTTGCAACTAGAGAGCAAGGTTATCGAATGCTGTGTCATATTGTGTCTTTTTATGTCATGATCTAGAATTTACAAGTATTTTTGAGACAGGTGTAGTAATAAAAGTAACCTTTGTTAAAGTATGTTGGCATCGACATTGCGAAATTTATGAGAGAGTTAAATAGAGCTGTCACTTGTACTTCAGAGCATATGGCTTATTGCTATGTAGCTAATGGTTGTTTTTATATACAATAATCATTGCTGTCATTCATCATATTATTTATTTTATAAATTATCAATTTGACTTTTGTCTTATTCTGATGCATTGTGTGGAATTGACCATTAAACTAATCTTTGAATCGTCATGTCTTTAGTCTTGATTTACATACAGCTATGCTGGTCTCCAGCGTGAATCATGTACTCCTGCAGTCAGCAGTGCGTTCTCCTAGTCAAACTTTATTTTCATGCTTTTGAAAAAGCATGTGGCAAACCACTGAACCATTTTAAAGTAGATGTATTGTAAAATGTAAAGATATATTTCTCTGTGTCAATTTATACACCTATGAATTAATTTATCAAGTGAACAAACATTCTTACAAATGTTAAATTTTGATTTTTGTATAATTATTTGCAGAGTTCTCGCAAGGAATAAAAAAGAGCAGGTAGTTACTTCTCTGAAAAGGACACTTTGAGTTTTGATAGAGCACTCACTTATCGTAAATATTTATCAAAATGTGTAATATTATGTAATAACGAATTTTATGCTCAACAATTTTTAAATTATCCTCTCCTACTATTTAATGAGTATATTACAAATGGTGATTCTCTCTCATTATTAAAAGAAAAGAAAAATTTGAAATTGAAAATTATTTTCAAGTTAGTTAATTGTTAAATATAGTATGAAGTTAGGTATTCAACATTGCATATTGCAGAAAAGTAAAATTATTAAAAAAAGAAAGAAAATTAAAAAAAAAAAGAATAAAAAAGACCAATTTTATTAAAATTCACAAAAGACATTCAGGAGTTTATTTTTAAAGAAAATTACTGATTAGATAACTTTACTTTTCAATTTTTTTGGTAAATAGAACTGATTTTATCTTCAGTGTTATACGAAAAAAGTAGTTGAGAACTTAATAATTAAATATAAAAAAATTAACATTCAACAATATTTAACAAATTGAAAATCAAAAATTAATAATTAACAAATTTGAAAATATAATCACTAAGGCAGTCCATAATAGAAATTTGAGTTAATTAAAATCAAAATTGTAAACTATAAATATAGAGATTGATGAAAAACTTATTTTCTCTCATTTACTTGTTTTTAGTGTTGTTAGGTTCTTGTCTTCAATTTATAGTGCAGCTTTGAGGAGAGCTCCTCCAGACTAAAAGTTTGGGGCTGTCTGCTGCTATGGTAACAAACGAGAACACATTATTCTATCGGGAGCAATGGAGGAATGAAGGTGTTGATTGGTTTACTCATGCTGACTTATGCCAAGATCAAGACAAAGCTATTCACCCCACACCCCTATTCAGAGTGACTCTTCCTCGTAACCATGGTACTCGCCACAACGCGAGACTAATGTCTAGAGGAGTTCTCCTGAAAGCCGCACTATATTTGTTTTTAGGAAATGAGAGCAAAGTTAAAGGTAAATACCGCCAAAGTAAAATCTCTATGACGGTTACCTAATAATCTGACCCTGATTCTGATCACATTTAATTTTGGAGAAAGTAAATGGAAGGGAATTAAATAGAAACATAGAAGTTGTAAGGTGGAAATTAAATACACATAAATTGTAAGTATACATATTTTTTCCTATTAGAAAAAAAAAATTTAAACAAAATGAAGTCCAAAAAAGCATGCATTATTTTGCCTAGCAAAATTTTGCAATTCTTTTATAGCAAAATAATTCAATGAATATTTACCTCAACAATATTCGTTTTTAATATTTCATCAATAGCAGTTTTGACCTGTTCCATAGATATTGCATTTGTCTAAAATGAAAATTATGTAAAAAACAGTAAGTCAGAATTCATTTTCTTTTCCTTTGCAAATTAATGATTGTCAACTACCATAAATAATCTAAAATTATATCAATAAAAAAATCCTTACATAAGAAAACTGTCAATTATAAAGAATTCAATTTTTCTAGTTAATGTTCCGAATTCTCAGGAAACCATTACATTTCAATTTTCCAAGTTACGAGCGAAAATTGAGTATTAGTAAATTTTAAATTATGAGCCAATGATAGAAAAGAGTTAAATTCTTTGGTTGAAAATATAAATTAATATATAATTTCTTTTATATTTTTCCCTCCAAAATTTAATTAAAATTGGATTTCTTATTTTTATTATCTCACTTAAGTTATAATTCATTTTTAAAAAATGCAAGAATTTTTTTTCTTTCTTTCTAAACAGCAAAAATTTTTTCAACTAATAAAAAACTACTGTCTGATATAAATATATGCTATTATACTGCAATTAAGTATTTTAAAATGACTTATATTTACTTTATAGTGCTTAATTTGTCAAAATAAAGGAGCAGAGCCCTAATTATAAGAGGACCTAGAGGCATCCTTACAGTATGTAAAATATGCAAGTGTCTCACTAAAATTGTTTTAATTGCTTCACAGGTAGGAAGGACATTTTAATTTAATAAGGCCGTGCCTATAAGCATCCAAAAATGATAATGTAAATTGATAATTTTACTCTTTCAAACAAACAACCAGACATTATTTTAGGAACGATAGTTATCTAAATAAAATTACTGTTAAACTGTAGACTGTTAATTGTTGTGGATAAATAAATAACTCATTATAAAATAAAAACTTTTTTACTACAAGATTTGATAATTGCTAAACATCAGTTCAGCAGTTAAATTTAATTTCCTGTTTATTTTTTGCAACTGGTTATAGAAAGTTACATAGAAAGGAAAGGTTCGCAATAAATAATATTAATTTAACGATAGTAAAAAACATGTATTTTAAACTTATTTTAAAGTAAATTGATTAATTATTTACATTTGAAACTAATTTTAATAAAAAAGTAAATGTTCTACAAGAATTACATTACATTTTGAATAGTGTCTGGTAAAGCATAATATAATTACATTTACAAGATGAATATCATACTGAATTGACAAAGATTTAAAGAGAATTAATCAAATTAAGAAAACCTTAATAAAGTCATATGACAAATGTTTATTAGTGAATGGCCCCTATTAATTTTTTTACTAAATTTTTAATCTCATTCAGTATTTCTTTAGAGAAACAATTACATTTTTTTAAATAATTTGGAATTGTAAAAACAATAAGTATTGAAGCCAAACATTTTTGCTCCAAATAAATTATTACATGGTCCCTATATTTATCACGTCCAGCGAATCCGAGATTATTAAGCTTTAATTTCAACTGTTTTTAAGTCAAAAGATAAAGAGATAAATTTAGGTTTGGTGAAATGAAAAAGCTGAATAATATAAGAGTTTTTTTTATTTAATGTGCTAAATGTTAAAGTAGTAAAAAATCCCTCACTTCATACTTTTTTTAACATCTTGCCACTAAACATTATTGAGTTTTTTAATGATAAAATATCTCAAAAGCATTGAAAATTTTAATAACAAATTCATTAAAATACTGCTACAATAAAAAAGTTCAAAATATTTTATACAATTACAGGATGGTCCCTAAGACAAAATATTAAAAAGTAGTTCTTGACAAATTTTAAAAATAATTTAATAAAAATTTTTCAGTGATTTTTTAAAATCAATTTTAGCAAAATTTATAGCTTTGCATAACCACAGTGGATTATAAAATTTTTTTACAAACCATTATGATACTGTAGTCGTTATTTTTATATTTGTCCTAAATTGATTTATTATCAACTGTTTCAATGCCTAATTAAGAATGGATAAACAAAATTACAGTTTAATAAATATCAAACAATAAATCTACAAAATATTATCTATCATTCTATAAGCTTTTAATTATTTTATGTACAAAATTTGTTTTGAAAAAAATAATAATAATAATTTTACACATACTGATAGCACAAGACAAAAGCAAAATGTAGTGAAAATTCTTCCCAAACATACCTCATTTTCTTCTGATGTAATAATTTCCTTAGATTGAGAAAGTTTTCTAATTTTCTTAGGCAAGATATTAGTTTCCTAAAAAAATTAACTGTTTTAAAGCACCAGTTAGTGGACATGCATGACAGCATAAAAAATGCAATAGCAACACTACAGCTACACTGTAAAAGTAGTGCACTGCTTTTAGCTCTTATCTGATTAACAAGTTTATATGAGAGCACTTAGCACTTAATGTGAATGTAAAGTCATTCAAAGTATTGATGTATCTAAAACCGAAAAACATGAAGTATTAGGAATGCTCATGGAAGAAGGTCAACAGCCTAATGTAGATATTTATCATGAAATGTTGTTTATAACACTGTCTATAGCAAACGGATGTGAACCAATAGTGTAAAAGTTTTTGTGAAGAAAGTATGTCAATATCTGATTTTCTGAAACCCAGGACAAGACTAATCCCAGGAGGAGGGAGAGTTCAGTCTATAGTATCATCATTTACAGATATTCTAAAAGCTCATAATATTTTTAGAACATAATTTTATAAATACAGACAAACTTTACTACAGTGTTCATTTGAGTTTACGTAAACTTTACAAGAGACACAAGCCATTATGAGAAAAAAAATTAAATTATAAAAAATAAATAATGATAGTTCACTTTTAGAATACATAAACAAATATAAAACATATTAGGAAAACAAATAATATATTAAAAAATAGCAACAGTCAATAGCACCTCAATTTGATGTGTCTCCATTAATTCATCAATCTCAGAGAGTTTTCTTCCAACACTTGGCAAGACAGGATCATTCTGTAAAAATTGGTTAACAGAGATTAAGCTAAATTATTGTATACATATCTTACATGAGAGTACAGTGGAACCTCTACCTTTATATACAGTGAAACCTCTTAGAAGCTCTCTGAGTCACAGTATATTGGTCGCTAATGGAGGTTGGTTGTTTCTAAGGGTTACCTCCATTGACTTCAAAATTTTATCGAAGGTACATGATTTTTCACAGGCAAGTTTAATTTTACTCAGTGTCACTTCCTTTGTGCGGAAGTGCCAATTGTGTTGGCTTCATAAAAACTGGATAGATGAATACAACTTATTGTCAATAAAAATGAACTCAAATTATCTTTAAAAGCAAATTTACTAATTATGAATGATAGAAATATTTTAAACAAATAAACAATTACATTTTTTGTTTAAGTTCGCATTTAATTTTATATTATAAAAATTATCTACAAAAAATGAGAAAAGGCTTCTTTGCTTGAAAAACTTAGTTTTTCTCTAAAATATCTCTTTTTTTCAAATTTATCTTTCAACTCTAAAAATAAATCACTGATAACATTGCATTTAGTGCACTGTGACTGCAAAATAAGGTTGTCGATCTCTTTTAGAGATCGTCAAAAAAAAAAAAAATTTCGTGTTTCCATATTTGACCTTTACTGCATTTAGTGCTGAGGTTTGCACGGCTGTTGGGAGAAATTTTGATGATCTCTCCTAAAGGTTTTCTTCAACAAAAAGACTATGGGAAAAATTCCTTTCTTCCCAAAAGTGATCATAAATAGAGGAGGTTGCTACACAGAGGTAGTCTTTTATGGAGGTTTCACTGTATATTTATTTCAATTAAGTTCTTAGATTGTAAGTTATTTGAATTATGAAAAAAATTTATACTGATTTTTAAATAATTACCTTTGCAGTTTCTAACACTTTTTCTAGGAACAAATGCTAATGTTTTTCAGAAAATACATATAATTAATCAATACATGCATGATTTAAAAAAAAAACATTCAAATACTCAAACTGTGTGAAATTAGATGAATTTGGACTAGCTTCGACAACTTTTCAACTTGTAATTGTCTGTAGTTGAACTTTTGATCGTTCGCTTTCTAAACCTCTTTAAATTAAGAAGAAGGGATATGATTTCTAATTATTTTATTCATATAAAACGAATTATTTTCGTATTTTTCTGCAATCACATACTTTAAAAAGGATTTTAGAAAAACGAAAATTTTTAAAAAATATTTTAAGCTAACACAGATTAGAAAAAAAAGTTTATAATCACATTTTTTTTAAACTTCGTATATAGATTACTATTGCAAAGCTTTGCATAGATGTATAATATTAGGTAAGTTTCGAACTAAAAATTAAGGTCTAAGTGTGAATTTTATTTTAGTTTTAACACGCTTTAAGTAAGAATGTTTAGAATTTTTCTTAAAAAATCAATACCTTTACCTTTGTTTCAAAAGCATTCATTAAATTTTCACTTTCAGATATTTTTCGATGCCCTTGTTGTATGGCTTCAGTTTCCTAAAAGGCAGTGAACAATATTTTCATGCTCCAAAAGGGAAACAAAACTTGTACATTTAAAATAATACAACAAAACATATTCAATACAAGTAGGACTTAGTCTGACTATACAACTTGCATAAGATTAATTAGCTAAAACATTTTTCAACTATTTTTTTTTAAAAAGCAATGTTAAGCTATAATTTTTAAAAAAAAGTTTTAAATGAGCATTAGGAAAAACAAAATATTATGAATGCTTCATTTCTAAAATTAATATCTTTTTGACACATAATACTACCAATAACTCAAAGCCATTTTATATTTGCCACATAGAAAATCCATAAATTAATAAATGTTAATGCATCAATTAAACAAAATAGTAAATGATAAGATTTAATAATATAAAAAATCCTCCAAAAATAAATGTTTAAATAGAATTCAACTTATTTTGGGAGGAATATATGCCTCATATGAAGCTTTCCTTCCGAATGCTAGTTTCTACAGCTTAACATAGTAGAACATTGACTTTTTAGAATGGCTTTAAAAAACTATTTTATAGCAGATTAAAATGGAGTGACAGCAAATGAAAATATTTTTACTTCAAAAAATTTAAGCATAGTAAATGAGAATAAAGTATGGCATAAATGTCATTAAATAATGAAGGATATTCACCACTTATGCATGTTGAAACTGATCACAATCTAAATACCTTCTAAGTACACTACTTGCATATGAAAACATTTCTTATCAAATAATTAAGCACTTAAAACTTTCTTTATAACGATCTATTTACAGTGCACATGAAATCATTTCTACATAGAAAATTCAAGACAAAGATAATTTGATTAATAACAAACTATGGTTTGCCAAAAATTTAAAATTAAATATTCAACGATGAAGATTTTATCTTAGCAACATTGAAATAAAATGATTCAAGTCAATGGTGTTAGACTTTTAATGGTGAGTGTATAATTATATAGTATAGTGGTAATTGTATGAAGATCAGCAGTTAATAAAATTAATACTTCAAACAAACAATCTTTGCCTTCTAAAGTAGTGTAATGTTATTTTAGTATGATTAGAAGAATTTATACCCTCTTTTTATATAAAAATAGTAGAAAAGTTAAAATCAAAAACGATAATTTTGACGAGATATTTATCAAACCTGCAATTCATTAACATTCAGTAAATCACTGTTCTCTGATAGCTTTCTTCTCTTAATTACTGACGCTTCAGTTTCCTAAAAATGTTAAAAATAAATAAATGTTTGCTACAATTTTACAAAATATTCGAATAAGCTTTGTTGAAAAGTACTTTTAAAAATTCACAAGTGAAATTTATTTCATTGTTCTTAAACATTATGAATACTTTTAAAATTTTTTAAAAAAAATTTCAAGTTAATTGACTGAAACATTGAATTAAAATAAATACAAGGTCCGGTTATTAATTTCCAGGACTGATAGAATAACTCAGAAGAAAATAAAATTGAACACATAGCCATTTAATATTATTCGAAGTAATCCCCATCAGCCGTAATGCACGTCTGTGCTCGGCTGTACAAATTTCGGAAAGAAGTTTTAAAGTCCTCTTTCGGAATGCTCTTTAATAGTGACGTTACAGTCTTCTTGATGGCTTCGACATCTTGAAATCTTGTCCCCTTCAGAGAATTTTTCAGCTTAGGAAACAGTCTGCGGGTGCTAGGTCTGGAGAGTATGGTGGATGCTGCATCTTAACGACACCATGCTGGGTTAAGAATAGCCTCACAGGCAACGCAATGTGTGGAAGCAAACTTTTTCAATTGCTTCCGGCGTGCGTAACGACTGCAGCCAACCTGTGTGTGGATCATCTTCCACGCTTTCGCGCTGTCCCAAAAGCTTTTAAACCATTCAAAAGTTCTTGAGCGACATAATGCTTCCTCGCCGTAAACTTGTTTTAACAATTTGTAGGTTTCCGCAGCTGTCTTGCCCAATTTGAAGCAACATTTAATGTTTATTCTTGCTCCATTTTCACTTCGACAACAGGAATTTAAGAGCTACGTTTTAATGCGCCTTTCTACGAGAACCACTTACTTCAGCATGGTGCCGATTGCACTGCACATGCGCAAGAAAGCACTCTTCAATATGCAATCATTAGCGCCATCTTCCGGCTTTTCGTTCTCCTACAGTTACGTCAGTCCTGGAAATTAATAGCCGGACCTTGTACATAAAATATAAATAATAAATATTGTGTTTTGTGTCTTTGAAGCACAATTTATAAAGAATAGAATGTATTTAAACTTTTAGAATGTATTTAAATATTATTGGAATGTATTTAAATATTTATTATTTAATATTTTTATGTCTGATTACATGAAACACTAATTACAATGATAGCTTTTCGTATTTTCCTACCAATTTAACTCAAATTGTCTAAATTATTGTATATTAAACCTGCAATTTTAATTGGAAATTTTTAATCCATTTGATCACTCTGAAACGTTCAGGTTTCTTAAATGTAAGATTTTTTTAATGTATTATATACCAGTAATTTTCCTCTGTTCTTGAATAGCTTCTGCCCTCTAGGGAAATTGGATGTGTGGCCTACACTTAATTGTAATTGCTTGGAGAATACGGGTAAAATAACTTAATTGTTGCGCTAGTATACAATGACATAACATGTCAATAACATATGATTGTAACATAATTAATATAGAATTTATATTAAGTCAGCAAACAACATTTCTAAATTTAGCACTTACCTCAAACTGCTCACAAGACGTAATTTCTGTAGATACTGATATCTTTCTTTTTCCAATTTGTAAATTTTCACTCAATTCAATCTAAAAAACACAAGTAGGTTAAGAAAAATAAAGGAAAGGAGAGAAAAATAAAAACCAAGAATATTGAATAAAAACCACTCAGTTGATAAATTATGTAGTTGATAATATCCACCTGTAGGCAATGGCAGGAATGCACCACCCAATTTTACCTATTTGAAGTTTTACACTTTTATTAAAGAATTACTTTTAATCAGTACTTTATATTTATAAATACCAAGTTGCATACATTACAACCATCCTTTGATCAGATGACGTAATTCACTCTTAATTAAAATATCAAGAAGGATGCTGATTATTTTGAAAATACAACAAAATTAAAATAAATTCAAGTCCACAGTGTTTTATAGATATTATAAATAATTTCCATTTTATGCACTCTTTGTTATAACAAAAACTCTACAATCTCAAATATGTCATGTTTTTCAATGTTGAATTGTGTCAAAAAAAGGAAGGAAAGAAAGAAGAAACGGAAAGAAAGAAAAGCTTAAATTGAATTTCAATGATTTTTACACTTCCTCCAATTTTAAATTTTACTAAACTAAGCACAATATATTGGGAAAATAAAGTTAAGAATAGCTGTAAAATTAAACATCTTTTACATCATTACATTTAATTAAATACGACAAATTTATAATTTAGCAATACTATAATAATGAACAAATAAAATAAAGCAAAATATTTTATTTTTCAGCAATAGAAATGCATGCTCCAACTGTGATAAATAAAAAATATGATAAAAAATATGATATGAAAATATGATTCCATTTAAATAAATGGAATAAAATGGTTTTATCATAATAAGGCAATTTTAACAATAAAATAAAAACCTATGCTGAATTTAAATTGTAAATATAAAAATAATTCTGAGAAAAAAGTATTATTTCTAGTATTATATAGTATAAAAGTATTATATTCTAGTATAAAAGTATTATTCTTCATACTAAATCTTTCTATACAATGATATAAAATTCCAATGGAAATTAGAAACATATTGTTTGTGTGCAAATATTATCAATTGTAAGATAAAAATCATAATAAAACTTCTAGTGTTTTAGATAAATATGGAGTAAGCAAATTTATTTTTGGAAAAATTGCTTATTAATTTAAAAGCTAAAATTTTACAGTAAAATTTTAATTTCGAAGCTAAAATACACAATTATTTCAGTTTTAGAGAATGCAATTAGTTATACAAGTTAAAACTTTGATTAATATAGTGTAATATTTTGTAAGAAAAAAATATTAAAACTGATCTTGGAGTGAAATTAAGATAATTATCCATTTTATATGCTTCAAAATTCTATCAGCATTTTTGTCCGATCTAGTGAATGTGAATAAATTTTAAATTTTTGTTTTTCAAAAAACCCATTGGTTGTGAAACTAATAAAACATTGTATTGTCACTATGAACATATATGCATGAAAAACGCATGCTCTAGGATACAAAAAAAATCCATTCGCAGTTTTCGTTTTAACACACCAATGCGAAGATAACAAAAATAAATATTAACACCAAACAATCTTCAGTGTAAATTAGTTTCATAAGCAATAGCAGAAAAATTTTTATGAACATGAACGGAAACTCAAAATATAAGGAGCTGTACTCCTTATATAATTATGTGATCATTCAAAGTTTATTTACATAAATTTAAACATATTCTAGTATAATTAGAATCTTAGATAGATACTAGTTAAAAAAAAATCAATTCCAAGAGAATACTTGTCCAAAATTAATTGTATAAATGAAAAATCCTTGAATAGAAAATATTTAATTAATATACTTTGTCACTTGCGAATAATACAAAAAGCTAACCTTTTCTTCTTCATAATCTTCTTCTAGTAACCTGGCAACAAGTTTTTTTATATTATGATCAGGACACCAAAAAGTTATTTTAACTTCATCCCTGCCAAACTGTACATTTTCAGAGTTGGTTGACATGAGTTGATTGCAACTACATTTTAATTGAAGAATGAGAGTTGTCATCTCCTCCTCTGCATTATCTATAGAAATGAAATGATTTAATGAAGAATTACATTAAAAGTTGTTATATACTTTACAGTTTTACACAATAATGAAATGTTGAATGGTTATACTTTACTTACCTTAAACTTTAAAAGTCAAGAAAAGGCATATAGCTGCTTTTTCATTATTATTACAAGGTGAATCTAAATTGATTTTGCAAAACAACAGAGGCAGTAACCATCCATAGAAATTGGTTTACATAATATAATGAGGCAGAATAACAGCAACAAAAAAGTAAAATCAGAATTTCAACATAAACCTACAGCACCATTAGAAAAACAATTGAATGATGCCGAAAAATTTAAAATTTGATTTACTGATCAGAGAAAACTCACAGCCAGAGCTTAAAGTAAAGGGTATTCTCATTCCACAGATTACACAAGAACACCCTTTCAAATATTCTTGGGTGCTAATTTTGTCTGTGGCAATAACAATCCTCGCGAAAGTTGAGTTCAGACGCCTCTGGTATGCTAAAGATTTAATGAGCACCAAAAACAAAAAGAATAGTGGGTTGAAGAATGGCGAGCAAGAAAAACATGCCAATAAGTTCGCCTAACTCTCAGAGTGAAATGCAACCCTACATTCCATGGTAACAATTGCTTGTATAGATGTCTTATCTGCATGGGTAACTTTATATTGTAAAAATAATTTTTATTCACCAAAGATAATTGAAAATTAAGCATGTGATATCCGTATTCATCAAATTTGAATTTTGTTTCTAAAACGAAAAATAAAAAAGCAGAGGGTTTATAACCGGTAATAATATCCCACTGTGAAAAGCTTCTGACTAACACAGTGTAAAACGAAATAGGAATATAGGTAGGTATATTACGATTCACTTAATTAGGGTGCTGCTATGCTGGCTTTTATTCAGAACATTCTAAATTAATCAATATGTTCACTCAAGTCCACCTTCTTGTATACCCGTTTTATAATTCTTCCGCTTTTTCATCCTCTCTATATGCTCAAGTCATCTTAACACACCTTTTTCAATTCTCAACACTACATCTTTTTTTCATGCCACAACACTCCTTCAAATTAACTTAATACTTCAATCTTTACGACTTAATCGAATAATACCTGATATTACACCTAATAACGATACTATTCATTGATAAAATAAAATTGTAAAATATTTTAAAATTTCAATCATGATAATGGCTAACAAACATTAATGTGAATAAGAGTATTGCATCTACTTGGAAAGTTTGTGTAACTCAGGTTTGCAGTTTGTTGTTTTTTATTTAAGTATGATTCCAATAAAACTTCTGATTTTGCTCTTCTTAAGGTTCATGCATGAAAATGATTATTTACATGAATTTGTAAGTTCTATAAGGGAAAGAACAGCTATCTCTAGCTTTTTCAGTGGGATTATACGAGTCAGGAATCCTATTCCATGTGTAAAGTCAGCGCATCTTCCTTCTTCAGGTCTTTCAAGCAGAGCACTTGAGCTATGAATTAAGCTTATATTTGTTTTTTACAATTTTTCTATATCAGCGCTATGACAAGACAATCGAATTTCAAGCTCTATAATTCTGTTTTTTAAATTCTGAAATTATATTTCAAAGTTGCAAATGTCAGTATTAAAAGGAGAACATTTTAATTCTCAGATCATTAAACTGATCATTCCTTAGTTCCGGATAAAAGACACCCTTTTCAAAGATAATTGCTTTCAACTTCTGTTATTAAGGACACAAAATGTTTCAAAACGTTTATTCTCAATAACCAACATGCTTAGTTTAGCAGCAGAGGATCTGTGTACTCACTTATGCAGTTAACCTTGTTCATAACAAAGTCTGATTTAACAAAAACCTGGATTCAATGAAGAAATAGGAAATACTTGGTTGATACAATGCAGAGTTCTCCCTGGGAATAAAAAGGGCAAAGTGCTTCCTGGTAGAAAAGGGTTTGGAAAGTGCACTCACTTAACACCGTAAAACATTTATCAAAATGTGTAATATCATGTCAATGTGTATAACAACTGAATTCGATGCACAACAATTTTTAAATTACCCTCTTATTTTATTTTATGTGTATATTTCACCACGTAATTCTCACTCGTCATCAAAATTTGTAGTTTATAAAAAAAATAATTAAAGGCATGAATGGTGGCTTATTTTTACAAAAAGGGCACATTTATGGGGATCAAAGGGTGGACAGACTTTCTGAAAATGCTTAGGGAGTACACTGTAGAATGTTAAATCTATTGGAGCATAACCTACTTTTAATGAACAAACCCCAGTTTTAGCAAGCAATATTTTTGTGATTCATTTTATAAAATTTCTCCTCAGTTCAACCATTCCAACTCAGTTAATCTCTTCTTAGAGATAAATTTTTGGGGTTGACGAATTCGTATTATGGTTTTCAGGCAGTAAGACAGTTAAAAACAAATGAACTTAGTCCTTTTATACTGTACAGAAAAAATAATAAAAAAATTAATAAGTACTACATTTATAATTTAGTAAGTATGTATTAACTTTTATGATTTTTTAAGGTACCGGTTTTTATAAGAAATCGGTTGCAACGAGAAAACAGTTACACTCTATGCATTTGTTCTAAGTGAAATTAACAATATTTTATGTTAAACTGTATACCGCCAACATTTGCAATTAAAATAATTATTTCGAAAATTAAAACTACCAAGAAATAGTAAGAATTAACGTTTTGCACTTTTGCTAATAATCTGCTAAGCAAGAAACATTTAGTAAGTTTTAAAATTAAGAAATAATTAAACAAAAATTTGAATAACAAGTTCACACATGAAGTTTAAGGATAATTGAACGAAATGATTAGATTTAAATTTTATTAAAATAGAATTGGGAACTAGATCCAAACCTGTGTTAAATTAAAACAAATATAAAAAATATGCTCTTTAGTTTAGATTAAACTTATTTGGCATATTACACACAGCGAAATTGCATTTTAACTAACTTCGATTATGCTACTAGGTAAGAATGATATAACTCTTATTTTAGAATACAAGAATAAAAAATCAAAAGATAACTGGTTATGAAGTATCAAAATAATTTGAAATTCTTACCACAAATAGTATAATTATCTATCATTCCTGCAGATATAGATACTGTTTCCCATGGTGGATCCTCCTCTTCACTCTGTATTTATTAGGGGAGAAAAACTAAAGCTTCTTGTTTTACTCAAACAAATAAGTTGAATAATGATATTTAGTTATTACATCCTAAATTGAGGAATATCTCAAATGTGAAAATCAATATAATGTTTATTACAATGTCTTTTATATAATTGTACAGTTTCATTTTGATTGTAATGAAACTTGATACAGATAAATCAAAAAATGAGAAAAAACACTGTTGACATATGTACTTCAAACCATGAAAGTGGGATGTTTAAGAAATCCTTTTTTTATAAGGTTATTATTCTGCAAACAAATTGTAAAAAACAAGTGCCATGGATTGAATATAGCTCTCATTGAAACAGCTCACTTAGAGTAAAAAAAATTATTTAGAGTTATTAAAGTATATTTTAATTTAACAAACATAAGTAAAAATTATTTTTAAAAGTTATTTCTTTATTCTGACATCACACAATGCAATCTCACAAATAAAACCCCTCAAACTAATTCACTTAAAAGCGAAAAACCACATGCAAATTGAAAAAAGATATAGGCAAGAATGTTTTGAATCAAATAGCATTCAGGCAAAGGGGATAAACTTAATATTCATATATCTGTAGAGATGATCCAAAATGAACATTGATAAGTGTTTTGTTGCCCCCATTGAAAGCAACATAGGCTGGCTTCAACCATATATACAAGGAGGACGAGGACCATTCTCCTAGAGGAGATTTCGTGAGGCAGAAAAGGTTGCATTTTTAAAGTTCATAAACCAACAAGTCATAATGAAGAGTATAAAATGTAGCTTTAGTAGATCCAGGATTGTGAAGGACCAAAAAGTTACAGTCTGCCTTTGCCTCTATCTAGACAGATTTAGTTGGGCATAATAGATTGGTCATTATATCTTGGGTAGGCCTATCAGGAGAACATACCAATCACAATGGGCTAGAAGAGCAGAATTTTTGGAGAATGAATTCAGTTTAAACCTTATTATTAGTGGTTTTACACAATATAAAGTTTAAAACAAAGAGTAATTGATAAAGAAACTTGTTCTTTTCTTCCCCACAGACATGTAGTAGCATATCAGTTTAATTGACTATTGATTATTCTGCAATAGTATCAATTAATGTACAGGGAGCAAAAAAGAAAAGAAAGAAAACGAACCACTCTGAATAACTTTTGATCTAATAATCAGATCTTCATGTTATAGGACTCAATCTTAATGTGCTTAATAATGCTTAATGTGCTTAACAATCTTAATAATGCTCAAGTGGGTAACCTCAATGGTAATTAATAATGCAGACGATATTTTAAGTTACAAAAACATTCTTTCTCTGAATAAACATCTTTTGTAATACGATTCGGATTACTGACCCCAAAATATAGGGTGTAGCCGCAATCTAGGAAATACACATTTTGCCTATTTCACTATATCTCAAGGACTTTTTAAGCGAATTAAAAAATTTTGCACACAGTTGCATCTATAATTTTATTTAATAATGGTCGAAAAAAATGCTGAATCACTAAGTATAGAAATTTTTAAATCATTTTAAAGAATATAATTTTACAAGGCAAAATACAAAATTTGTGCAAAATCGGCCAAATAGTTCCAGAGAAATCGAAATTTAAATATCTGACTTTTTTTAAATTCAATTTCTACAGTAACTATTCAAAGAATTTTGCTCAAATTTTATATTTTGCCACTCTAAATTATATGTTTTAAAATTATGCAATAAATTGTACACCTTACAATTCAAAATTGTTTCAACCATTATTAATAAAATAATAAATAATTACTAAAAGAAGTTATTTTTTGCATGGAATTATCTTTGGATGAATGAAATTTATAATTGTGTACAAATTTTTTAAACTTAATTTAAAAAGTTTTCGAGATATAGTGAAATATGCAAAACCCATTTTCAATTTTAAGCCTTGGCAAAGAAAGACTTAAAAGCTGGCTTCTGATAAATGACAAATTTCGTGTCATAGAAAATTTTTAAAAAATAAAATTAATTCACTTAATAAAATTTCACTTACATTTATTCAACTTTACTAATATTTGGTATAATCGCAGAAGATAAAAAGTAATAACCACTTTCAATGATACGTAACTGTGTAAATACATAAAGACATTTTCACCACAAGTAAATTATGTATTTGATTCAGATTTCAACTGTGATTTTATGCATATTTTTAAAACAGTAAATAATTAAGAATGACAAATTTACAAAACCAAAATTTACCTTATATATTAATCAAATAATTGGATTGGTTTAAAGAGTTAATTTTTTTTTTTTTTTTGAAAAAAAAAAATAGCTACCTTTAATAAATTTTGTCTCACAACCTCATTAGCATAAGTAGTATGGCCCCATTTATAAGTAATGCTAAGCAGCTACTTTTAAATATATGTTAATTGGCCACAATAAAAAAAAAGATTGTTTTTACATTGTTTTAAAAGCAATTACTTCAAAAATGCCATTTTTATGACAGTTTAATGATTTTGATTAGAAATTTCAGAAAATTTACCACCACATTCTTTTTAAGTTTTGCATTACTGTAAATTGATAAATTAGCAATATAACTCCATCCCAAAAAGCATTTTCATACCTACATTATAACTCCATCCCTTTATTTCTGAAAAAATTAAAGAATATATGGATATAAAAAAATTACACTAAAGTAACTCACTGCTGCAAAAAGTTTATCAAAATAAAAGAAAGACAAATAAATTTACTTTTGGCTTAATTTTAACCATTTTGCCACAGTTTCTAGCAATTTTTGAATATAAACACCAGAATATAAAATATTTGTTTAAATAAGCAGAATTTAGTAAAGTAACTGTATTTAAAAGAAAAATAACATAAAAATTAAACAACTTACAAAAATCTCGGAACAAAAGAAAGATATTATCTGAGAACCAAAGCTTAGATCGATCCAGAAATCACTGTCTTGTGGCTTTTGAAGCTAATAATGATAACATTAAATATAAATAATAAAATTAAATAAAAAAAAACTATGAAAGTTTTAATGATATTTATTTTTTACCTGGAATTCTCCTAGCCAAACTGATTTTGCCATAAATGAGAATACTCTACCATAAATAAATAAGTTATTTAGAAACTGAATAAAAAATTAGAAATTGAGTAAAAAATTTCAATTCTGTTATTAATTAGAAAATATATTTTAATAGCATTATTTTTATAATCAACCCTAATAGAAATTGCTTCAAATGCAGATCTAATAATGTTTTTAAGTAGCACTTCTGATAATGGCTCAATTCTTAATTAAAATTCTTAAACAATAATAAATTATAGTAATTATATGTGTCAAGTAATATGATAATGAAACATTTTATTTTCATGATTGTACAATTTCGTTAATATATCTAAGGATTCTTAAAATATAGTTTACCTCGGTATGGGCTCCATCATGTTAATGTAATTTAAAATTTTTCGACTGTCCTAAAAACAAATTAAGAGAAGGTGTTTTTCAAAAGCTTACACAGTCTCAAAAATATATTCTTAAAATTCTAATAAAGCACTTCTATTTAAATTGAATACAAAGAATATTTTTACCTGCTCAAACTGATCTTGTCTGAGATTTAAAAATTTAGCTTTGAGTTGTTTAGAAGAAAACCAAAGGCGTGCCCAATAAATCTTATCATGTACACATGATGCCAATCTACACATAACTTCAAACATGGCAATTTGGCACTCAAAATCTGTTGTAAACAGTAAAAGAGCACAATGATTTTCATACATATAAATCTATTTAAATAAACAATCATTGTGCAAAATAATTTAATTAAAGCTATTTAATGTTAATTACAAAAATTCCTTAAAATATTTTAAAGGATAGTACAGTAAAAGACCTAGGTGATGCAATTCAATAAATCACAATTCTCCAGAAATCACAGCAGCTTTAACAGGTGTAAATAATGAAAATTGCAGCTAAGAAATTTCTATAACTGAGTAAAGAACAATGAAATATTTACATTATTTGCTTAACTATTTGGCAAGGGGTTTCTATTTCAAAAGCTAATCAAACCCAAATTGAAAAACTTGTTTTTTGCTAGTTTGAATGTTCTAGAAAAATTATTTATTATCATTATTATGATTGATCTGTTTCAGTCAAATATATCTAGAATATGCCATGATTAGTAGGTTAGTCTAAAGAGACGTGAAATAATCAAATATATTACAAAATTCAATATAATGCCAAGGCTTGCGTTTTAAGGTTTGGGTTTCAAAAAAGTTATTCTATTCAATTCACCATAAAAAAGAAACAAACTGTAAAATTTGAAGTGATTCATAAAAACAATCACGATTGAAATTAGGGAGTATAACAAAAAATAATTTTACCATTTTTACCAAAACATGTTAACAAACTCTAAAAAACATTAAGTACTTTTATAAATATATAAATATTTGTAAAATACAATAAAGTTTAAATAAATGATCGCTTTTCTTTTCCTCAGACTTTGTACTTACACTAGCTCGTACTTGCTTGCACTTGTATTACACTTTGGTCTTCGATTTATTTTCCTCAAACTTACACCCAAATTCTCATTTTAAAACTTATTAAATTTGAAATACTTGTTGGCTTATTTTATTTAATACACATATTTTTTAAAATAAATGTAAAAAAGCAATGATAATCTACTACTTTTGATTTTTATTAGATGATTAGTGGCTCTGCATTAAGTTAAGGTTAAACCAAAATCTAATAAATATTTAAGCCTGGTCAGTTAAGAATTGGTATTTTTAAAAGAAATTTAAAAAAGTAATGCTTTTAAGAAGGAAAAATGCATAAAATCATACATTTTGCTCTTTCAAATCAATTCAATAAGTAGTTGACACTCTTTAGTATAATCCCTATAACAGTCACACTTCCAACATGAAATCTAATTTGACTTTCAATAGATAAAAATATTATTTAACTTTGCAATTCAGTGTGCCCAAAGTTTTTTACACTAAAATGAAATATAATTTACATAGCATAAGATAGTTTATAAATAAATAAAACAACTCATACCATATATGTCTTAAACTTTCATTATAAAATATTTTTTATTTTAACCAAAATTTTAAAAATCTCATTTTTAAGTTAAAAAAATTCAGATTTTGAAAAATACTTGAGGCTTCCTGAACAAAGACGAAATTATATTCAATGTCATTTCTAAAATTAATTCAAATTTCTTGATTTATAACACACTTTCATCCTCATATGAAACAAGAATTATAGATTTTTTAATGCCAAATATTTTTCTAAATAAGTAAAATAAATGTATATATGCAATAAAAATTTAAGATAAATTAAAATGAACAATTAATCATTAACTTTAATGAAACTATATAAAAACTTTAATAACTTTGCAGTAATGAATTCTTTTTGAACAATAAAATATGCCAGGCTAAAATATATAAACAATTACAAAACAAATTAATCTTACCTCCAATAACAAATAGTCTCTTCCCCAGAGCCACGCTGAAAAAAAGGTATTTATTAAAGAAATTGAAGAAGCAAATTATTTTGTAATTAAAAGTTAAACTACTATTTATATGAAATTTGAGGCTTGTGAAGAATGCTGACCACATTGTTGTCGGTCTCAAAATTGAGGAGCTTTAACCTCCATAATCCTTCAAGGCCTCCAATGGGCTGTTGCGGGACTGCTTTACTTTAATTTCAGATTGATATTTTCTACCACCTTATATTAAATCAAGTTATAAATGGAATAAAATTTAATTTTGTTTAACCATGATTTTTTTTTCTACTTTAAAAACAAAATTCTTTTTTAAAAAAAGTTATCATTATATTATTTGATTATAATGTAAGTCAAATAAATGGTTTTACATAGTCAATATAAAATCTGCATGAATCAATATAAAATTTGTAGTAATACTGATGACTTTGTATTTTTACTTTAAATGCACTAGTTAAATTGTTTTTTAATAATGTTTTTATTTTATCTTATTAAACTTTGATAGTGAAATAATTGTTAAAAAGTAATTATTATTTATGATAGTTTAAATAATAGTTTTAATTATGCAATGAAAAATCACTAATTTTAATTATGCTTTGCATGTATATTAACAAGGTTAATACTAGTCATATTTAAATAATATTTCTTTACAACTAATAATTTTAGAAATTCAGATATAAAAAAAAATTAAGGACAATTGCGTAATATGAAAAAAGTAGTTTGTAGAGAAAAAAATGCAGGAAGTTTCACAATTTCAACATACAAGAAAAAAACCATTGAAAAATATATTACTGCACAATGAAAGAAAAAAAACTATTTTATTGATAATTTTAATTAATTGTTAATTTTAATATTTAATTGTTAGAAATTTTATGTCCTTCAATGGGTTTAATATGTCAAAAAAAATGATATTTTAGGTGTTTTATTTATTGTTTGCCTTAAATAATATAATTATTTTTATTGTATTTGATGTAAAGCAAATGATAAACCTTTTACTTGAATTTAAAAGGTCACTTACTTACATCTGAAAAAATATGGTAATGCTTTAAAGTATCTGTGCTAACCTACATATAAGCATGTGTTTAAACTTAAGAACAATTTGAATAGGGGCCATTACTTAAAATTAATGCTATGTTTTGGAGTCGGAAGAAAGAGAATGGTTTCAAAACTTTTCTACATTTTTACAAATTGCTTTCGGCTTTTTAAAAGCTGATAAAATTAATTTACTACAAGGATAAAATAAAATAAATATGCTCAAGTGCAGATTTACTAAGATTCCTTAATTTATTGTTTAAAAAATGTAAGAAAATAGAAAACTGAGATAAACTAAACAATGCCTCTAAAGTACCAGTAATATTTTTTCCCCAAAATAATAACTTACACAACAATTTCTAAGGACTTGTCATTTATAAGCCATGATGCAACTTGTTGATCATCAAAAGATTTGTTGAGCATATTAAGAACCTAAAAGAAAAGCAAATTAAAAATCTAAATATTCAAACAAAACTCTTTGATAAAAATGAAAGAATAATACACAGCATTATAGTCTGCTTGTGATTTAGGAAGTTGCTTAATAATTTATAGTGAGTTATGAAGAGATGCTAAATAAGTTCTTAGAAAATCGGAAATATAACATTTGCAGTATCGAAAAAGATTTGCATTCTTCACTAAATTGTTCTTAATGTTACAACTTTATCTGAGACAAGATTGCATGTCACAGTCGGCTGGAGAAAACAAACATTCATTAAGAGAAATGGGGAGAAATTAATTTCCTGAGGTTAATAAACAGTTTTGTTTTAAAAAGAGCTGAGTTCTTTCTGTTTAACACTGAAAGAGATCAGAGCTAAGTTAAATGATAAACGTGGCATATTTGCACCTAGTTAAAATTGTGTAAATGAGTTTATATAACTACTTTCACAAATAATGAACATCTTTCCGGCCACAGGTGAATTTCTCCAAAATGTTGGTCACAAATTCACCAATGAATTGATTTTAAGTGACAAATGAATCAAAGTGCAGAAAATAGTTGATGGTAAATTTTGCAAGAAAAATTGAGTATGAAGAAATCTCGACAAGATGGGAACCATGTTTGTTCTCCTTAGAGATTCACTATTCAATTATAGAATTATTATAACTTCCACTTAATTCTCCAAATTTGGTTTTCAGTGATTTTTTTAAACCTCAAATAAAAAGGCTATCAGAGGCCTATTTCAAGAACCTTACAAAGTTCTATCTTCAGAAGGCCTAAAAAAATTGGAAAAACGTTAAGGAAAATATGTTGAACTAAAAGAAGTATATATTGAAAAATAAAAAAGAATTTTTCCAAAATCATTTGTTTTTCTACTTTTTTCTAATGAATTATTTAATAACCCTGGTACAAAAAAAAAATTATCAGGAAGATTTGTATATATTTATTGATATAAAGTCTATCTATACTTACAGCTCCTTAAATAACTAATCATTACTTTAAAATTTATTCAAAAATTATAGAACTTGCAAACAAAACTCTACAAATCAATAAATTATACTTTTTTTGTAATCAAAACAACAATAAAAAAAAACTTTTGTCAACTTCTTCAAATATCCTATATTCTTTTCTTTACTAACTATAAATGAATACTGAATATGAATTTACTAACTATAAATGAACACTGAAATATATATTTCATTATAAATTAGTTGGTATTCTTGACGCAAAATAGTGCAAAAAATTTGTTGATTACAAATCATAATTAAAACTTATTTAATATTGAGCAATTTCATTGTGACAGATTAATAGTTGAAAGATAAATTTTTTGTTAAAATTGCACTAAAAAAATTAATTTAAGCATGAAAATATACAAATGTATTATAACTAATGACCATTAGAAATCATACAAATGTATTTATAATTAATAAAAGACATTCTTTAAATAATTATGGTTAAAAACATGTAATAGTAACAAACAAACAGAAATTTTCTCCATTTTAGTTACCTTTATGTTTAAGTGTATTATTTAAAAATAATGCATATTTTATTTTAAAAACAATGTACTTTATTTGATGCGAATTCAAAAATATTAAATAATCATAAAATTTAACTGCTGCCACAGTATAAATAAAAGAAAATCGAATTACTTCCTATTACTGTTACAGAAAAACAAATTAATTTCTTCCACTTTTTCCCTAATAAATATTACAACTGATAGTGTTATTTACTATATTGGCTACTTATCCAGTAAAATGTGCAGTTTGAGATGAATTTTCATGAAGAAATCACCCAGTATTAGATACATATCTTTGTAAAATTTTAAAAACTAAAAAAGAAGCTAACATCAGTGAGAAATGGCCTTAATATTAAAATGTCTTTAAAGGATTGAAAAGCACATTTTTTTTAAGTAAACTTTTTCAATATGCCAGTTTTCTCCAACAATGACATATTTCTTAAAAAACACATTGTATTTTCATGAAAGTTAGAATGTTTGTAATATTTCTCCAATCATAGCTAAGATTAATTAATGAGCTACATTCTTTTAAAAATGACAATATATTCTATGATATTATAATTAGATGGCTAATACCCTGATTACAAGTGTTTGAAACTATTTTCCAACCTTTTAAAACAAATATTTTAATTTCACTGAAAAGTAGATATTTTTTATTTCTCAAGATATGTAATCAAAGTTGTCTATGAGAGTCATTATAACCACACAATTTAATGTACTTAATAGTCTCACATAAATATTTCAAATAATAAATTTCAAATCCAATAACAAAAACTAATTAGTTTTTATTAAAGAAAAATCAAAAGCTTTATGAAATAATTATAGAATATTTTGGAAATTAAAACTTACAAAATTAATTGGTGAACATTCCGTTGTTTTAACTAATATTGCTCTTATACAATAAAAATAAAATAATTTGTTGAAAAATTAATAAAATTTTAACTTTCAAAAGGCAGAAGGTAACATGTATTTTACCTGTTTAGTGTTTGAAATACTACAATTTACATTAGAAGAAATTAAGAGAAGACTTCTTGATAAGATTACAGTTTGCTCCAAACCTGTTAAAAAAGAAATTAAAGTAACACAAGAATAATTTTAAAAACTTTTTTTTCTCTTTCTTCAAAGAATTTGCATCAGATTTCATGCTTCGCTCATAATTACGCAAGACTATGATTTTAAATTTTTTCCTCAGAAACTTATTATGAGGTTTTTTAGCGTGTTAATTAGAAGAACAAAAAAAAATTTAAAGTGTTTTTGAAACTTTTTCAACAAAAAAAAAAGAAAGCCACAGATTAAATGCTTTTAATTGGAAGCAAAACTGCAAATACTATATTGCTGAAATGAATTGCCAACACTTTAAAATGGACAAATATTCTAAATAATAAAAAAAGAAAAAATAATGAGGGTTTTTTTTAAACAAAAGTTCATTAATTTGCAGACATTTTTTTTTAACTTACATGAAAAACATTGAAATCAATTTACATTCCTTCACTTTTGACTATGTTTATAATCCCCAAAACAATGAAGTGTTTGAGTAACTTTCCAAGCCACAATTAAAAAAATAATTAATCATAATCGCTTTTCATTAAGAAAAATCTTCCTTTAGCATTTTGTGTGGCTTTCAAAATTAGCACAGAATAAGTTGAGATAGACAAAACTTAACCTTACAGTTGCGAACATCTTTTACAAACTCATAACAGTTATAAAGATAGCATATTATTGGCTAAAAAGTGCTATTTCATACAGCAAAATATGCTTCAAGCAAATTAAACAGAAAAATCTGACTGATACCTAAAGTCTAATATTCATTTCATACATTGGTGTCCTAAAGTTAAGCATCACTCTTAAATAAGGAAATGTGTGTGGTGTATAATTTTATTTAAAAATTACAATACATTTTTATAGCATTTTGCATTAATTTTTAATTTGAAAAGATGATAAAATAATATAACCAAAATGCAAGAGAAACTTTCAGGACCATATTAAATACCTGAATAGGAAATTATGACAAAATGTTTCCACAAAATAGACAAGTGAAACACAGCATGCGAAATTTAAAAAAAAAAAAAAACATAAAAATCTATCATACTTCAATATTTATTAGAACCAAAGGTATCATAATGACTTTAAGGGTGCACAACCTGCAGTCCACTGAATTGCGGCCAGCGGAAGCTTCTAAACACAAAGAAAATGAAAACATTTTTTCAAAAGTAAAAAAAAAAATGTCAAAAAGTTTAAATCGGACTTTTGAGTCATCACTTTTGGACATGCTCAATTTTCTCAAATTATATTGTAAATCTATGTTGTTTCACAACCGCTAAAAAAGCGACTGTGAAACATGTGCGGTTGTGTGATTTCCCAGAACTAAAAGTCTGGGGGGGGAATGACAAAATTTAATGCAATTAATAAAACTATATTATGAAATTTGAAGAATTGCTATCTAATTATTCACAATTCTTCAAATTTCGTTTCTTCATTTGTCTCCCAGAACTTCAGAATTTGAAAACCAGGTGCAAGCACATGAATTATAAATATAAGTAAAAACTATATTTCTAATAATAAACTACACTATATAAAACATAATCTAATCAAAAATTGATTTTAGATTATTATTTGTTGTATCTATACCAATTGCGAAAAAAAATGCTTTCTGAAAATGCTGCCGAATATTTGGCCGACTGAATTTTTGACAAAAGGACCAAATACGTGCTACATCCTAAATTTTAATACAATGTTATTGCATCAAGTAAAATTCACAAGTGGATTAAAATGTGAATTTTTAAACTGCTAACAGTTAGTAATTTTGATTTAAAATTTTTGAGCTTAAGTGATTTTTTTAGGAAAAAAAAGAAAATGTTTATTAGATAAAAAATCTAATATTTCAATAAAAAGAAATAATATCTAAGATAAATATCCAAATAAGTACTGAATCTCATTTTGAACTATAACGGTTTTGTTTTTACTTTAGGTTTCTGTTTAAACCTTATAAATTTTCTTCAATTAAAATATTTAATTTGAATTTATATTACTTAATATGTATGTATTTTTTTAAAAATATATATATACTTTCATTCTCTGAGTATAGCAGTTTTTTTGATGTTAGAATTTATTTTAAAATAAACTTTTTTATTGCATAAAATGATTTTTTAAAAAAAACATTTCTTTTCTCCAATGTTTATTTATTTTTTACTTTATTTAGTTAGGTACTTATTTATTTTTGATATGATAAAAATGGGAATTTTGTTTAAAAAAAGAATTAGTTTTTTATTTTATTTTTTAACGAATTCTATTAATTAAAAGCTATTTTATAATTAAATTAATTTCCTTCAAATATATTACCAAGTTTACTGATAAAAAAAATTTAGTGCTTAGAAAATTTATGTGTAAATTAATATTACTATCATCGATGGTATCAATATTGCTGTCAACTTGTCTAAATACACTTGCAGCCCTTCATTAGTTGAGCAAGAAGCCCTTCACTACAAAAGGTTGTGCACCCCTAGATAATATCAAAGGTAAGTAGTCATTATGATAAGCATTTTAAACTTATCATTTTTATTATCATATAGTCATTAATATTTTATATTTATTTAGTGTTTATACAAAAAAAATTGTACGAGGAAATTTTATCAAAAAGCACTGATTCTTTATTTAAAATGCATTACACATGACTTTTTTTCTATTAAAGTTTCTAGTTTATAATTTTTTTTATTACAAAAAGAAAGAAAATCTTATGGCAACAAAACAAAACTACTGCAGAAAAAGAAAAATATTATTTAAATGTAAATTAATTTGTAGAAATAAGCCTATTACATTTACTGAAACAGGTTGAATTTTCATTGAAAAAAACTGCTATGCCATTTTAAATTAAGTAATACACCGTTTGTGTTATATTGAAGACCTATTATAGCATTGCATGTATTCGAGCATAAAATAAATTTAGCCTTATTAAACATACTAGAATCCCACATACCTGAACAAATTTTAAAAACCTAAAATATTATGTATAGTTATCATAGGCATCTAGAATAGAGCAGAGTCAACAAAATTTGTAGTAGAAAGTTCATGAGGAAATACCCCCAAAAAAATGTTTGTAAAAAGAAAACCTTTTAATAATATCTTTTAATATGAAAAAACATTACTTACTTAAATTAGCAATAGATAGAATCTCCTGAAAATGCATAAGAAAAATAAGATTCTAATTAAAATGCAATCTAATTACAATACAGTAGAACCTTGATTATCTGACACCTTTAGAATAAGGAGTAAGTCGGAAAATTGAAATTGATGAATAGCTGTGGGGCATTTTCAAGACTATTTTTAGATGTATAACCATCAAACTCTGAGAAAAATTACACAAAATAAGTACTGCCTAAAATAAAAATATATTTGCATTTTAGTAATTCTATCATAAAAAATAATACAATCTCATAAGAAAAACCTCATAAAATGTTTTTTTTTCTTTAATTTTCATTTTCTAACAATCAGAATTTGGATTCATCACCACAATATTAATTGAGTAATATTACGAGCAATAATGATACAGACAAACATGAGAACTTTATTGACACCTGTTGGAAAAAGTGTTCGATAATCAAAGTGTCATACAATCAAGTGTCAAATAATTGAGGTTCTACTGTACTATCATATTACTAAAAAATTATTCACAAATTTCTCGAAGTGCAATCAAATATGCTTAATTTTTTTAACAAAAAGAAATTAATAAATAAATAATTTAAAAGGAAAAAGTGCTTTAAAATTTCTCAAAATAATTAATACATACTCTTAAAATCCCTCTCCTATTAAAACCAATAAATTGCTATAATTGTTAGTGAAAATTTATTGAGTAATCAAGTAATATTATGTGTAATAATGATAAAAACAAACGTCAGAGCTTTATTGATACCTATTGGAAAAAATATTCAATAACAAAAGTGTCATACAATTGGAGTTCTGCTGTACTATCATACTACTACAAAATTAATCACACATTTATTGAAGAGCAATCAAATACGATTAAAATTTATAACAAAAATATGTAAATAAATAATTAAAAAGGTATGAATAATTAATATTAGAATTATTGTGGGCGTATTTTTTGAAGCTGCAGCAGAATAACATAACACAACATTTTTCCTAAAATTGAAATCGGCACATATCATTTTCAAATAATCAATGAGGTTTTTTTTCTTTCTTTTTTTGTAAACAAGTCATACTAAATCATGCTTCACACAAAAATACTTAACAGATTTGGATTAAATGAAAAAATTTCTGCAAACACAAAATCTCATTGAAAAAATTTTTTTCCAATAATTAACTCTTTTAACCAGTTTCAACCCTCTTGTCTCCACCTAATATTGGTGGAATTCGTTTAAGAATCTAAGATTTTTTAAAAACATATTTTTATTTTTTAAAACTCTATGCTGAATATTATAGATACCATGCCTGAAAGTCAAATGTAATTGCAAGAAAAGTGTAGCTGCATCAAATAGAGAAAGACATTCTTGTTTCAATGTCTGCCAGATTTATCTGCGGGTTAAAATATGAGAATTTTGACCATTTTTTTATTTAGAGTAATACCAATTTTTTTTTACGATGATGGAAAATATTGACAGTCAGGTGAAATGGAAGAGTTTTTATTGTTTCTGTTTATAATGAGCATATTAAAAAATTGTATGTGTGAGTAACAAATTTTCTACAAACAGGGTTTGCTAAAAAATTTTTACTTAACAATAATAATAAATTTGTTGCATAACATAACATTAATTATCATAACAAAGATAATTATTAATGCTATCTTTTTGATATAAAATAATATATTATGAATAATATTAATATGAAAGTAATAAACAATCTATCCATCAATCTGTGTGAGTCAGTTGATTAAGTAAAATTTTTTCTTTATTTTTTCCACTTACTGTGGAAACAAAGAAAATAAGAAAAAAAACTTTAAAAAAATGCCAGAGCTTCAGATTGAGACAGAGTTTTTCCCTCGGCTAGCTAGCAAACATTTCCCACCATTATTGTCATCGAATAATTTTACGTAAGTAGATTAAAAAATCTTTTAACTAGATACATTTTTAATGATAAAAAAAACTCTTAGAAACAAAAATTGTTATAGAATGTTTGAAATGTCAGTGGAATAAATGAAAATATATAAATACCAAAACCAACTAAATAAGGTGCATAGTTTACATCTTAAAACTATTTTTAACACAGCAAAGAGTACATGAAGTTTTGAAAATTAGAAATTTATATACATAAAAGCCTTTGAATTTCTCAGTTAAAACATTAAAAAAAATCCCCAGAAATTTTAAATTTGTTAAAAAAAACTATTAAATTGCATCAAAATAGAACTACTCACTCCAATCAATAATAAGATATTATCGAGAACAACAGGAAAGTCAAAACAATCATCAAGATTTTCTCCTATGAATAAATAAAAACAATTTACACTAGTAATATATATATAGACGCACACATAAATGTATGTTAAAAATTGTCACAATGTCCAGTAGATGTTCTGCAACAAGCCTTTAAATAATTACAATCACTAGTTAAATTATATTTATTTAATGAAAAATAATTTATTTTACAAAACCTTTAATTTCAAAAACAAAAAAAGATCTTTCATTGGTTGAATATCAAATAATATATTAATACCCACAACACAATTATTAAGAACATCTGAAATTTTCATTTTCAAAAATAAAATTTCTAAAAAAAATAAAACATTTGACTTTACTTGTGCTTGACCGAAAATCCCTTACTTTCTGTTCTTTCAAATCAGCTTTTAGGAGTTTCAACAATTTCCCTGCATCTGTTTGTTTGCTTTTTAAAAATAAAAACACTTAATCGAAAATAATCTGCAAATGCTGTAACAATCTGCTGCTGTGCTGTAAGGTTCCTGCTACCTTCATGGTCTAGAATAAAAATCTGAAGTCTACAGAGATTTGCTCAATTTTGAAAACACTTTTAAAGCCTGTAGAGGTAAGCAAAATAAGCACTTCAAGCCAACTTTACTAAACCAAGAATCATACATTAAAACATAAATTTAACTTCCAGTAGAAAAAATTTGCTTACAAAGCAGAGCTAACTGGCATCTCCAAGATACATGAATAATTTTCATTCATATTGAAGGCAAATTCAAAGCACCTGATAGAAAAAAATTCTTATTCATTAATATTTTATCCCTGAGAATTTATTTATCTATTTTAAAACTTTTCAGTTAAGAAACTATCTACAACAAAATGATTGCCTAGCAAACATGAATTGATGAACAAAGCGAGCAAAAGGCCTCTATTTTAAAATAACTTCAGATGTAGTGAGGCCAATATGATTTCTTGAGAATATTTATAGATTTTTATTACAATAATCTTATATTAAAAACAACAATAAATAAGTAAGTATCAGTTAGCTAAGTGTGAGTACTTTAAATTTTTTGCAAAAAGCTTTACTAAAATTAATTTTCTTTTCAAAACTCATTTATTAAAAAAATAAACTCTTCAGTGGATTCATTGAATTGTTTTTTATTATATTGACAGTTTTTATATCTTAGGTAATATATATTTTTTATAAAACAACTATTCTGACAAAATGCTTTTAATTATTATGGGAGACTATAGAACAGGTTGTTTGGAAACTCACCAATGATGTGATCATAGGTGTAACAAAAACTTTAAACAGCAATGAGATTCTTAAATCCTATATTTAGTAAACATAATGGGAAATTGAAACTATCGTACATTACAAAAGTATTTCTTCAATATTGAAACATAAACCTCTTTACAAGTCACTAATGTTAGCTAAAAAATAACGGTAATTTTGGAAGTAGTAAGTAAGATTTAAATTAGAAATAAGTAAGTAATAAGCAACACTTGATTTAATGAAAAGAAAACGTTGCAGAGACGAAATAAATCTTCGATTATAGAACTGATATATTTATTTACTTATTTTGTTTGAGATATAAATGAAATTTGAGTGTTTGGGATTTTCTAATCTTTTTCTTAAGTCTCTTCAACTTCAAATTATTTGAATTTGACCATATTTAAATCCTATCAAATAGTGATATAATGAAATAATTATTTAAATTAAATTAATAATAATTTACTAAGAACTTTAAATGAATATTTTTAACAATAAAAGAAATAAAATTGTCTCAAAATAAATTAAATCACATTTTATTAAAACAATTGAAAGATTAATAAAAAAATTAACATATGACAAATATAAAAAATAACAAAAATAAATGTGCAATTAAACAGTCTAGGTAAAAAAAGAAAAGAAAAATATATCAACTTCAAAATTAAAATTTACCTAGCTTGTTAATTATGCAATCAAAATCATCTGAAGTAGCATTTTCACTTGCAAGAAAATTGAGAAGCTCATCATTTTGCCCATACATTATGGCACTCTCAAGTAGGATGCACAAGCCTTCTGGAAATTCTTGAACCATGCTTATCTAGAAAATTTAATGGAAATTAAAAAAATACATTAATTAAAAAATTTAATAGAAATTAAATAAATTGTTTGTTTTTTTTAATTCAGACTTGTGTGTAACTTGAATTTTTAAATTTATCATATAAACTTAAATAAACTTACTGTTAAAAATTATCTTATCATATAAACTTAAATACCTGCAAGTTGTTAATTATTAATACAAAAATCTAATCTCATAAAATAATTGCATTATACTATTATATTCTTATAGAAACAAATTTTAAAAGGTAAAGTAATAGAGTTCAAAAATTACTTAACAAGCTAAAATGCAATTTGTTGGAATATAAATTGCACATTTTAACTGGGTGGCATGATTCTTTCACAGGATTTGTACCACAAGTGGCTTAACATGTTAATAAAAAAAAATTTAATAACATTAAAATAGTTGAGACTGGCCCAACATGCCCCTAGGTTTGAAGACCCAGTTTTCTCAGATATTAAAAAATAATAAATTAATTTCCCCACAGTAACACTTCAAAACCTGTTATAACTAAATTTGTAAATTTTTAAATATTTCTTATTCAAAAATATTATATATTTACTGTGTCCTTTATTTTTAACAAAATCGGTATTTTTATTATTACACACTAAGGATTAATTCTTATTAGTTGAACTAAAATTGAATTTATAGCAGCTCCTACTTTAATGGAATGAGTCTCATCCTAATTTGTGCATAATCCTACAAATAATCTTTGTCCAACCAGTGACAATGTTAAAAATAATTGGTATATTATTACACATACTCTTTACTATTGTTACATTCTTATATGCAAAGAGTATATTGGTACATATTTCTTACATATCATCATAGTAACCTTCCATTTAAGAACAATTTACAAATTAATTGAAAACAAAAAAAAAGAACTTTTTAAATTACTTCTTTGATATTCAAATTAGGATTAGCAAATTGTAAGAGATAGATGGAATCGAAATCTATTAGCTACTACTTAATCTAGTTATTTGAGTAATTAGGTGAAAAGTTATATACAATATCTTTCTTCTAAAAATGAAAAACAAAACTTCAGAAAGAATAAATAACACCATTGCCACCTTAGAAAAATATATCTTTGAATTACGCGCTAAAAAATTGAAAGCTCTAAGTCAATGCAAATAGAGGCGCTAAAGTTCCTCAAAAGTGAGAAGTGTTTTTAGCTTTTGTATTGTTACTGTTAATTTACGTCGCACTAGAGCTGCACAATGGGCTATTGGCGACGGTAAGTGTTTTTAGCAAAAATTTGATTTACGAGATCTTGGCCTACGACGTCATGCACGAAACAACTGTCATAAGTAATAACGCATCAAAGGTGTTCGGCATTAGTCCTCGTTAAACTATTCTGCCGTAAAGTACTCGACTTTGCGTGCAGGTCATTTGGCTACCAAAGCGGGGTTGCCATCTCATCTGCAGAGGATCAAAATTATGATGTCATGTCTTCGGATCCTCCTCAGGGATGTTTCCCAGACCATCGCCAATAGCCCATTGCGCAGCTCTAGTGCAACGTAAATGAACTGCAACTACAACGTACATCCATTAGTTTTAGCAACCGTATCCCGGTGATACTCCGAAGTATGGCTGACCTGGTCTCGATGGTTTTTCGAAATACGGCTAACACTCTGGCAACCATATTCAGAAGTATAGCTGACCCCCTGTCAACCGTACTACGGTGGTATATCGAAGTATTGCTAACCCGGTCCCGTTGATATTCCGAAGTATGGCCGATCCCGTGGCAACCATATTCCAAAGTATTGGTGAATACCTGGCAACAATAGCCTGAATATGGCAGACCACATGGTAACAGTATCCCGCTGGTATTCCGAAGTATGGCCGACTCGGTCCCGGTGGTAATCCGAAGTATGGCTGACCCGTTGATATTCCGAAGTACTGCTGACCACCTGGCAACCATATTTCGAAGTATGGCTGAACCCCTGGCAACCATACCCCGAAGTATGACTGACCCCCCTGGTAACCGTATCCCGGTGGTGCTCCGAAGTATGGCTGACCCTCTGTCAACCGTATCCTGAAGTATGGCTGAACTCCTGACATCCGTATTCCGCGTTGTATCCCGAAATATGGATGGCCCGATCCAATATGGTTATAAGCCACCACCGCTATTTGGGTGATTATCTTAAGCCCGCTGGTACAATTGCTAACTTCAATCTTCTTCTTATTATCTATACTTTGTTTTATTGAGTAACCACAATAAGATTTAGAGACTTCAAATTATAAAGAATTGTAGAAGAATGTGTAAGGATTAAAATGAAATAGAAAAAAAATTACATATTCGATGATTTAATTCTCAAACAATTGTTTGAGAATTATTAATTCTTATAGTTGGTGTAAAAAAAGTATTGTATGAGCCTCTCTGGAGGATACAAAAATTCATCTACAGATTAAATATTTTGACTTGCCGAAAAGGCCAGTTTTGTTTATGAACTAAGACAAGCATTCAAGTATGTTAAAAAACTATTGTAATTTCAAATGCTTTTTTTCACGTTACATTTTGTTTTACTGCGCAAAAACGACAAGATTTTGACATTTGAAATTACTTTGTTTTAGAGAAAAAAATTACAGAGAATGTTTAACATTCAATAAAAAGTTCAAGTATTCTTAACTCTTAAAATTGTAAGGAAAAAAAATTATGTATGGTCGATCTGAAAGGAAAGCTGAGAAAAAGTATGATCAACACTATCAAAATATGGAAAAGTATAATCAAAACTCCCAAAAGTTATACGTAACTCTGGCTCTATGGGAAAATCAAAATGTTCGGTAATTTTTACCAAAGCGTTTTGGTAATATTTCAAGTTAACAATAAAATAAGATTTTTTAATGTTTGTTAAATTTTGGTCAAAATTGGTAATTTAATCATTTCTTACAAACCTTATTATTCCGTAAAATTTACTATTCAGTTTCGTATATTTTACTAAATATATGGTGATAAGAACTATAATTTCGAAAAAAAGAATTTCCAGTAAACTGCTACAATTTGAATGCAAAATAAAAATGAATAAAATTAGGAATTAACTTTTTACGTCGTTATTAAATAATCCTTTTTGCGTGAAACATTTATTACATTTTTATATAACCAAAAACTAAAAAGGAATTTTAAAAACAAAAATGTTTTGAAGTTGCACTGTTAAAATTATTAGGTTTAAATTGTATTCCAATGGAATCGAGAGTAAATTCTGTACCAGAACAAAAAATGCTGGAATCTTTTGATTCATAAGTTTTTAATAATGATCTGAGAGGGTTGGGGAGCGCCAGCGAACAGGGGGCGAAGCCTCCTAGTATATATTAATACAGTTAGAAAAGTTGTTGTTGGTGTTGTTCATTTCGGTCGCACTAGAGCTGCACAATGGGCTATTGGCGACGGTCTGGGAAACATCCCTGAGGATTCTCAGGGATGATCAAAATTGTGATGGCATGTCTTCGGATCATCATGATCCGAAGACATGCCATCATAATTTTGATCCTCTGCACAGGGGATGGCACCCCCGCTTCGGTAGCCCGACGACCTGCATGCGAAGTCGAGCACTTTACGGTAAAACAGTTTAACGAGGACAAATACCGCTCACCCTCTGTCCCTACGCAGGCTGATCCAAGTGGTCACCCACCAGCACACTGGCCGTAGCCAGTGATGCTTGACTTCGGTGATCTGCTGGGAACCGTGTCTTAACGATCAGTCCACTGCGGGACCAGTTAGAAAAGAGGGGAACTTTTAATTCAATAAGTTTTAATGAAGAATTTGCTTATAGGAAGAAAAAAAAATAAAAATGATGGTGTGGCTATCGCGGGGGGTTGACTCTCTGATGAGGTGAACAGAGGGGATGTGCTCCTAATGTGTCAATGAGAAGGTATGATTGCTTGATTGAGTGTATCTAGATCACGATGGTTTTAGAATAAAAAAGGAATGAAATTTCACTCACACATATAAATAAAAATCTCATACATATAATGGAAAACATATAGTTAAAAATTTAATGGGTGACGAACAATTTGTGTGTGAAGTTAGAGCAATATCTTAATTTCATCGTGCCCTCCTTTCTTGCACAGTTACATCAATCTTAATATCTTCTGCCCAATAAATATATTTAATTGTATAAAGGAGAAACCAAAAATATTTATATGTAAAGAAGTAAAAAAATAGCTTGTTTTTATGGATGGGTGATCGTGTAAAGCTAAAGGTGGTGGCGCTAGTGGTAAAATTGCTCTTTCCAGACTTCCGGGTTACTGCTTCCGATATATTTTTACGCCGCAGATTGAAAAAACGCGCCATCATATTATTGCATCATATCTTTTGCAGTATTTCACATGTACCGAGTTCTTTCTTTCAGCCTTTAAACTTCAGCATTANTTAGTATTGTAAACACAAGTATTGTTAGCATTGTAAACATGAGTAATAAGTAATCAAATGCATTGTTTGCAAGAATCTCAAAATAGAATGATGCCAAATGGCTTTAAAATACAACTGAAACAGTAACCCGGAAATTTAGGCAGTCCCGAGCTTGCAGCGCTCCCTAGTGTAGAAAACACCATCCTTAATGGAAAACATATAGTTAAAAATTTAATGGGTGACGAATGTACATGAAAATTTAATGGGTGAACGTGTGTGAAGTTAAAGCTATATCTTAATTTCATCGTGACCTCCTTTCTTGCACAGTTACATCAATCTTAGTATCTTCTACCCAATAAATATATTTAATTGTATAAAGGAGGAAACCAAAAATATTTATATGTAAATAAGTAAAGAAATAGCTTGTTTTTATTTGATTATTTATGCTCTATGGATGGTGTTTTCTACTCTAGGGAACGTTGCAAGCTCGGGACTGCCTAAATTTCCGGGTTACTCTTTCAGTTGTATTTTAAAGCCATTTGGCATCATTGTGTTTTGAGATTCTTGCAAACAATGTATTTGATTACTTTTTACCTATGTTTACAAAGCTAACAATACTTGTGTTTACAATACTAAAAGTGTTAACACTAACGTAAGATGGTGCACAGCTTGCAACACGAACAAACAGTAATAAACAAATGGAAAGAGGCCAAATCAAGACTGCCAAAAAAGCGAGTTATTCAAAATCTAGCAACCATGTCACCTTTTTTAATAATAAATAACAAAATAACTAAAACACATTTTCACTCCAAACTCCCCAGAATTACGTAATAACATTAATATCTTATGAAAGACGGCAGATTTGAGCTTAGAAATTATCTAATTTATTTCTTTTACTGAAAACAAAATTATCCGTTTGAAAACATCGCCTATCAGAATAACATGTAGTAAGCAGCTGCAAACTTTTTAACCGGAACTAGAGTAGGTTCCGAGCTCGAGATTGTTATTGTTTACATTTCTATTGAAAACACTATCCTTTATATCGGTGGTTCCCTACTTATGAAATGGTACTTAGTTCCGCAATGGACTGATCGTAAAAACACGGTTCCCAGTAGATCACCGAAGTCAAGCATCACAGGCTGCGGTCAGTGTGCGGGTGGGTGACCACTTGGATCAGCCTGCGTAGGGACAGAGGGTGTGCGGTATTGGTCCTCGTTAAACTGTTCTACCGTAAATTGCTCGACTTCGCGTGCAGGTCGTCGGGCTACCGAAGCGGGGGTGCCATCCCCTCTGCAGAGGATCAAAATTGTGATGGCATGTCTTCGGATCATCCTCAGGGTTATTTCTCTGACCGTCGCCAATAGCCCATTGTGCAGCTCTAGTGCGACGTAAATGGACTACAACAGCAAATGGTACTTAAAAAAAGAAATTACGAGAAAACAAAATCATTTTTTTAACAATATTGTAATAAAATAAAACATAGTTAAAAAGTAATTTCAGAATGCGTTCACACTTCCCGTCTGAGTAAAATGCACATGCGCGTAACATGTAAACATGAACAACGATTACGCTACAACGTTGCCAAAATCAGCAAATAGGATTTATCTATTTAATTATTATTCTCCGCTGAAGCCGGCTAAAATTCATCTAAAGTTAGGCAGAAATAGAAAGAAGCTGGGTGATGTGGGGGAGTGACTGTGTTTGTTTATATTAGACACCAATATGCGGCTCTTAATTGTTTATTTGTTATAAAAGCAGGTGACAATTTTCGCAAAGAAATATTAGTGATATTCGATAATATACAAATGATAATATTACGCATTTTGGATATTGGTTAAAAATGCGGAAAAATTATGAAGCAACAATGCGTCACAGACAAATTATTCTTCTTATTCTTATAAGTGTTTTTGTATTATCGGTTGTGTTAGTTACAATTTCAGTACTCATTATTGCTCCAGGAATAAAGGAGACAGGTTGAATGAATAACCATATCACGCTATTCTAATTGATTTTATGTTTATATTAGTTGTAATATAAAATTTGTCAAAAATAATTTACTCTTATATTCTTTGTGAGAATTCCGCGAATCGCTTAATAAGATATTGAATTTTGTTAACAATATAAATTTATGTTACTTTATATGTCAAATAAACCTCTAATTATCTCTTGCTTAAGAATTTGATTGGGGTATTCTTAGAAAGTTTTGGAACAACAAGTAAAATTCAAGTGAAGTAAATGAGTAAAGCTAATTATTATTATTTTTTTTTTGGGGGAAGATGATCTGTGGTTGAATAATCGCAAAGTCTTGCCAATTTCGTGTTTTTTTATTTAAATGTTCAAGTAAATGAGTTCATTGCGTAATGAATTTTTTGTATGCATTTTAATATGTAATTAAAAAAAATAGATAAACATTTACGGAAATGAAGATTTACGCTACATTTTATTAAACAGATTTGCTTCATCTAAAGACCCATTTTTTTATTGATGCTGCAATGTAAGATCATTCCACTGTGTTATAAGCAGGACATCACATTTGAAATTAAAATATTGATATTGTTTTGAATGACTTTATTGGTATTTTTAGAAGAAATATTTTTGTGATTTTATTCTTAAATACAAAAATTGTTATATTTGATTATCTTTATGCACATTTAGCAATTTTTAATACAATTATCTCAAGTATCTTATTTGTTTTAAAAATTGACACAATTTAATGTTTCTAAAAATCACAAACCTCATCAATTAACCCATGCAAGTTATGCATTTGTTTATCCAGATCTATTTATATTTCTTTTTTAATAGTTCTTTTGTATTAATGGATTTTTATTGCTTCTCAGATGAGTATAAGGGAAAAAAGAATATCTTATTCATAATAGTTGATGATCTAAGGCCAACTCTTGGTTGTTATGGAGATAGAAGAGCAATAACCCCAAATATTGATCAGTTAGCATCAAAAAGTGTTCTATTTAAGAATGCATATGCTCAGGTAACACATTATGTAATACTATTTAATAGATTAATAATTATATCTACAAAGGGTAAAATATTTATTTTTTTTAGTTTTTCAATTTTCTAAAGATTTTTCCTCCTGAGAATAGTTTCCCCATTGAGTAAGCAACATGAAGGAAAAAACTATTTCTTTGTTCAGGAACTATACCATATTCATTTCAAACTACAAAGCCTACAGTTTAGAAGTGAACCCTTTTGGGATAGGAGTTACCAATGCAAACTTTGAGGCCAGGAGTCTCTTTCACGAGGTTCTTTGCAAACGCTGTGGGTTTTTTGCTGTTAAACCAAAATGACTGGAATATGAACATTCTTTAATACTGTGAAGTAGATAAACGATGTATACTGTATATATTTTTTTATTTATGTAGATACTTTGTTTAATTTAGTTTTTTTCTTGTTATAATACATTAACATAATTTCAGCTGTTTTGAATTCAATTAAATAGTTTTGATGCTCTGGATTGTAATGGTAAAATAAAAAATTTGATGTCTACAAGATCTAACTATCTATTAAAAACTGAGATGCGAACCCAAATACACAACGACTAAAAATTAAACTCTCCCACTTACTTTAAACAAATTCCATATTCTCGTTTTAAAGAGCTGTATTTAAATATGGAAACATTCCATTTCTTGTTTATAAATTAAAAACCACGTGCATGTGAGTCATATGTCTCTCATTTTAGGTAGATAGTCAAGTTTACATGTATCTCAAATCTTATGGATTTATAATGCTATCTTGTGTAAAAAAAAAGTAACATTATTAGAACAATCCAGAACACTGTCACAAATTTGTGCCAGCATTGACTAAATGAGAAATTGCTCTTTTATGGTGTCATCTCGACCTAGAAAGGAGAGCAATTCATGCTGGCACGTAGGCATGTCAATCGATATAAAGGGTTTGAAGGATAATAAAAGGCATAAGTTAGGGGTGCACAACCTATGGCTTGCGGGCCGTATACGGCCCGCCGACTATTAATATAGAGATTGCTGGAACTTCTCAATGCATTAAATTTTTTTTTAAAATTTGGTTTTAGCTTAAACATTATAAATTTTCTTTAATTAAAATATTTAATTGAAATTTATATTACTCTATAAAATGCATATATTTTTTGCACTTTCATTCTGTAAGCTTCTTTTTGATTAGAATTTAAATTCCCCCTCCATATATATATTTATATATATTTGTATCTATGGAGAATATATATTTAATAAATTAATTATTGTGAAAAATGGAAAAAAAAATGTAAGAAGAATTATTAAGTTTTTTTTTGGGTTTAAATAAATTTAAATAATTAAAAGTATTTTAATTTCCGTAAATATGCTATTAAGTTTACTGATAAAAACATTTAGTGCTTAGAACTTTAATGTTTAGGTAAAAATTATAATATTTGCGGCTAACATGACTAAATATGCATGAGGTCCTTCGTTAATCTACCTTCTGTGCAACTGGCCCCTCCACCCAAAAAAGCTGTGCACCCCTAACATAAGTAAAATATTTTGGTGTTATTAATCCTCTAAAAACCCATTTTTCCCCTGTTATTCAGCAGGAAAGTAAAGTAGTATGTTGAAGGAAAATTTCAATAAATTCAAAATACTTTAAAACATATTTTATTATTCATTAGCGTATTTTGCCCAAAGGTGTATGTATAATAATGGTGTATGTTTTATGTATAGTAATGGTGATGTTATAAATTAACAGTTGTTCATTGGCACAGAACCGTTAAAATTTGACTTGAACCACTGTAAAATAAGTAAGTGGGAGTCCTTTGGACCACCAATTTACATAAATAGATAGTAAGCTGCTTTTTTTTTCTTTTCTTAATTTTTGGTTTACTTTTCAGGTTAATGTTTTTGTCACATATTCCATCATAATTATGAACATAATGCATTTTCTGTATTATATTTTTTTCTTTAAATTCGCTTTATTAGACATTTTTATTGAAAAATTTAAAAGAGATGTGTAAAGGGCCCTGCAAAGAGAAATGTACTTAATATGTTATTCTGTATGCTATTCTTGTCCTTCAAATTGTCCATAAAATCAGAAAAAAAAAAACATCCATGCACATAATTTTTTTTATTAATATTCACCGAAAAGTTAAATTTCTGCTGTCTAATATACTGTCTTTTATAAATATCAAAAAAGTGTTTGTTTCTGAATATTTTTTCTATTAAGGTTTCTGATCAGGATGTCTGATGTAAGAGCTATGTTTTTCACAAAATCCATTATGAAAATAAGGGTAAACGCATACCTGCCAACTTTTAATCCTTTTGAGTATGATTTTCCTCAGTGGTAGTAAAATGGAATTTAAATTACAATTGTAGGCAGAAAAATATGCTGTATTTTGAAAAAGCTTATGCAGACTACCACAACAGTATTACATATTAATATATATGCTTAATTTTTTTTAAAGTAGTTGTTGTCAAAAAGATTATAAATTAAGTTCATAAATGCAAGGAATATATAGAAAGCATACATTTTATTACCACTTTAAATATAGAACTAAAATTTTACGCCAAATGCGTAAAAGTTGGAAGGTATGGTAAATGTACTTAGATTTAAAATTTAAATTTTTAAAATTCATTGTGGGTAAAAAAAGTAAATTTTTTTTTGCCTTGAAAAATATTTTTTAGTGATATTCAATAGGATCTATCATAACAGTATAAATAAATAATAGTAATAAAGTCAGGACTACACCAGGAAAAAGAAAAATATTGTTTGGCCCTTCATATAGGCAAGATTGCAATTCACAAAGTGACAACTAAATAAAATAAAGTGGCCACCAAAAGAATTGTAATCATTCGCCACTCACTCACCACCATCTCTGTTTGTTATTTGACTCCTCATCTTAACCACTCTTTAATTCCTTGAAATGCACCTGCATAATGCTCTTAAAAGCATTTATGTTAATTAATTTCTATTTATTTTTTGATTGTTATATGGTAATGAATTTCTTATATGAATCTTTAAACAGGCTAAATTTAAGCATAATAAAATTCAATCCTAACTTTTTTTTTAGTCTATTTACATCAAAGGATTTTATTTCTTCATTATTGTCTGAGACTTTTTTTGTCTCTTTTTATTGGCAGTTTGTTTCAACATCTTTTCAGATGAGGCAAACTTTGTTTTTTTACTTAGGCTTTAAAGTAGAATTAATTATCAATAAAAAGAAACCACTCAAAGAGCAGGCTTGTTTCTTTGCTGAAAGATGAAATAGGAATAAAAAAGCGGGTGTAGTATTTTGTTTTTTGGGCACTCTTATCAAATGACAATAAAGCAAAAAAAGAGGTAACAAAAATTGTAAATAAACCAATAAAAGTAATATTTCCAAAAAGTGTTTAATTATTAAAAAAATAAAAAATCACAGTATTGATTGAAGGTTAACATTTATCTGAAAAAATAGAAATCGAAAAAGGCAAATACAAAAGATAAAACATGAAAAAAAAAGAATGAACAATGAAAGAATACAGCGATAAATAAAGCAGAGAGCAGCGATTGCAGAAACTTTTAATATTTTATATTTATTAAGAGCTTAATTTTTCATATTTATTATATTTCATTCTGATGCAGAAGTTTAAAATTGATTATGATAAAAATCAAACCTATTATGTAATTTTTTTTCTTTTTAATTATAAATTGTTCCTTGTTTTTATTTAAATTAATAAACATAATATGCTAATAATCCGAATATTTTTTTAATAATATCTTATAATATAAAAACATTTTTTTTTAAAATTAAAAGAAATAAATATTTTTTCAACAATTTAGAAGCAAAATCATGATTAAGATACTTTTAAGACAAAAAGTGGCCACCAATAAATTTATTTTTGTTGCCACCAGATAAATTTACCAACCTTGTGCTCCAGGGATTTGTAAAACAAATTCGTTTTCAGATTTCTTAAAAATTAAAATAAAATCATTTTTAATATAAACTTTTTACCATTTATTTTTCTTCCATAAAAACTGCCCTTTAAAAATGTTACAACTGTTAATATTTTTTGGAAATTCCTGCCCAAAACAAAGTTGAAATAAACTGAATGTGTAACAAATGTTTTCTATCTTTTGGGGTACAAAACTTTCCGAAAAGCTCCTTATTTTAAGTGCGGACAGTTATTTAATAAAGGCTTCTAAAGAGATGGTTCATTAGAACAGGTTTGTGTAGCTGAATATTAGCAGCAACTACAGATCAACCCTTGATTACAAAAAGGGCAACATTTGCCACCAAAAGTTTTGGCATTAGCAGCCACATGAATCTATTTCACTATGATGTGCAGTTCAGCTGTGCATTACGATTGTAAAATATGCTAAAAACTTTTTTAAAGTTAAATTTAAAAAGCCAAAATGATATTTGTAATTGATATAAACTAATATATTTATTCTTTAAGGCTTGTGTGTGTTATTGTTCTCTTTAAACTAAATATGCAGATTTTAATATAATTTTAATGATAGAATAACAAATATGTTAACAAAAAAAAAGTAAATTTTTTTTAAAAAAAAGTAAAATTTAATGAGTTAAAATATATTAATATTGAAAATTGGAAACAAATTTATTCCAGGCTTCTTTGTGGGGACCAGAAAACAAGTAAGAAAGTTAATTACATGGATAAATAATCTGTTGCTGAATTGATTTATTTAACTTTAACTTTTTTAATGAGTGCTGAGATAAAAAAAATCTTATCATATTTAAGCTCAAAATCAGAAACTTCATTTATTTTTAAAATATTTAATTAAGAAATATTGTTATGCACAAAAAATTGTTCTTTCCAAGAACTTTCTAAGTTATTTTCATTTCTTAAAAAGACTTACTCTCCTACCCGGATTGTCTACAAACTTATTGAAGCCTTCTAAAGCTTTTCAACAAAAGGGTAGATTTTCCTATTTTGGAAACTTTATGTTCCACACAATAGGCCATACATCTAAAAATGTCCTATAAAATTCTGTCATATATATATATANATATATATAAATAAAAGCTGTCTAAATGGTGATTAATATCAATGATTAAATTTTTGGTATCTGATTGGCAGCAGCAAACTTTATATATTATTTTCTATATACTTTTAGTGAATCCTCTCTTTCTTTCTTTTTTCTTTTTTGCACAATGTCTTAAGTTTAACTGTTAATATAACATTGATTTTTATAAAACAAGTGCTTTTTTTATTGTTTTTTAAATTTTTATCTTAGTGCTTCTGGTATTATAAAATTCTTTTTTACTTGACTGCTGCATATTATCTAAAATATTACATTTATTAACATACATTAGATTTATCAAAAAAAAAGCATTTAAATAATATTTTCTAAATTTCATTCTTAAGTTTCTGTTATTTTATACATTATAACTAAATCCTAATGATAGTTTTTAAATTTTTTTTTTTTAAGCAAGCTCTTTGCGGACCAAGCCGCACATCTTTATTGACTAGTCGTAGACCAGATAGTTTACACTTGTATGATGTTGGCAGCTATTGGCGAGATACTGTTGGAAATTTTGTTTCTTTGCCTCAGCATTTTAAGTTACACAGCTATGAAACTATCAGTGTTGGAAAAGTTTTTCATCATGGTAAATATATATATATATTTTTTTATTCTCATTATTAGTTGTTGCTTTATGTTAAGTAATTTTTTTCTCAATCTAAGCTCAATGAACCTGTATATTTTCCTTCCTTTCTTTTTTAACCAGCTTCTTATCGCTTGTGTATGACATTGTTTCTAAGGTTATTTAATTCTGTTTTTAAACTTTATTTTGGTCAATTATAATAGTGTGTAGTTTGGTTAATTATAAACTTTCGTCTTACATTAAAAAAAACACGCTATTTAATTAAGCATTTAATTTTATAAAACTTAATTTTGTGTGTTATTTTAGTACTATATGTGCACATTGTGAAATCTTCTCTTATTCAGCCCCAGGTTTTATTTCTTTCTTGTCGTTATTTAAAGAGAATTTGATCAATATAATAAATTTTTAAATAGGGTAAATATCTATTCAAATTTTAAAATATTATAATCACAGTGAGATGATTTTAAATATTAAAAAAATATTGGAAACTTAATTACAAGTTATATAAAAATAATTTTCATGTCCTACATAGCTGACAACTTTTACGGATGTTGAGAAAAATGTTTCTTAGCGGTAGTTTAATCAGAAAAGGCTTCCCATGATCATAAGCTTCCCACATCTATCTTGAGCTAAGCAACTCTCTGTCAAATCACATGCATTTACTGGAGACAGATGTTAACATGTTAAACTGATTTACTAATGATAATTGTGCTAATTGACGCATAACTAAGTTTGATCTAGTGTCTGAAAAATCTTATGGTTAAATTTGAATTAAAATTTTTTTCAAATGTGTTTAATTTTGTTTAAATTTTTTCATTTTTAGGTATTGTTTCTAACAAAACTGATGATTATCCATATAGTTGGACAAATTATCCACATCGACCTCCAACTCAAAAATACAAAATGGCTCCGGTATGTTGAATTAAAACAACATTTCATTTATATGGAATATTATTTCTGTAGTGTGTTATTTCTGTTGAAACTTGATAATTCTAAATAATAAGTGGTCAAAATTTTAATTGGCAATAAATTCTATTTGAAAGAAAAGTGTTAAAATTTGATTGTAACAATGTGGAAGCAGTTAAAATTTATATTGTCATTCACCACAAAACTCCTGTTAATATTTGAGTGTTCTAGCTAGTCAGAAAGTTGGCATGGTTTCATGTATGGGTTTTGCTTGCACTCTCATTTAATTATATGAACTTCGCTGGCTCCATAGGCATAGAATGTCTATCTTCATGTTTAATACAAAATAAATGCCGATAGCTTAAAACTAAGAAAACTAAGTGTAGTAAAACACAAAGTACACACTTTTTTTGTTGCTTTAAACAAAATTACTCCTTGAGAAGAGATTCATGAATTGTAATGTATTAATGTTATTTGAAAGAATTCTTTGGTAACTTTTTTTTTGTCCACAGACATGACCTATAGCATAGGCATGACTTGAGTACTGGCATTTAAATTGAAATTATGTGTTTATTAAAATGTATAGTTTGTATGGTATATTATATACATTCTCAATCAAAAATGTTACTTATAAGATTCTTTAATTTTTTTTGTTGACTGCAAGTCTGATATGTGGGAAACGGTTGGCTGTGACAGTCCATCAACATAATTAATCACTGTTTGTGGGTAAATTTTGAACATTAAATTTAATATTTTTTTTAAAACTTACAACTTTAATGTATTTTATAAACTGTTGAAGCCCATAGATATTAATTTTAAAAATTATAATTTTTATTATGACTATCAGGTTTTCTGCAAATGATCCTACTACAGGGTTCGTGTGCACCAGATATATTAGATAAAACGGCCAGGGACCACAAGATTACACATAAAGTCAGGGAAAATGTAATTTTACCCCAAAGCCAAGCATTAACCAGGAATTTAACATCCTATCAATTTGCAAAAATTCACTTCACCGTTTTTGATACTGTAATTTAAGCTTGCGCTATCGAGAATTAAAATAAAATAATCAGATTTTTTCCCCGGAATGAGCGACATTTGGTGTAAGTTCAATATTCTTCTGTTATTCTTAACTGTTTTTAGAGTGTTGTCAATTGGATGTTCGAGTTAAGGAACTTCATACACATTTATTTTCAAATGTTTTTTGTCTTAAAAGTATTGACATGTTAGATTTTTTTTGTTGTTTAAATCCACTTTCATTTCTCAGTTTTTGTTAGCTTTGATTTATTATGACAAATTATTATTATCATTTTCAAGTTTTGCCTGATGTGAAATCACATCTGTTTCGTTAAGAATCGTCTGTGTTTGTAAAGAAATAAAAGCAGAAGGTTGTTTATTTATATAGTTATAAGCATTATTATAGTTATAAGCATACAATTATTTATTACTAAAAGTAAACAATTATTTTATAAAGCAGATAGCAGCTTTCTCTTTTTACAAGTGTTATCACTATGTTTTGAATTTTTTTTTCTGTTCACAATAAATTTCGTTCTTCATAAATAAATTCTTCTTTTGCATGAATTTTAATGTAAAGATTTTTTAAAAATTCTGTTGATCTCATTACATCCTGCCTTGTCCTGGGTTTCAATGTTTATGTTAGCACATCTTTTAACTATCCTTTCTGTCTGGTAATTTTCAATTTTTTTTTTACTGGATTTGATTAATTTAATAATTCTAATTTATTTAATTAATCAATAATTATCAATCAATAATTAATCAATAATAATCAATTATTAATCAATAATAATCAATCTTATTTGGTTTTATTTAGTTTGTTATAATGTGGCTTAACTTCAATTAAATGAACAATTTGAGGTTTGAGTTCAATTAAATGAATTTTTCTTACCTTTCAGAGAGGAAATAAATTTTTTGTTCACATTAAAAGTGAAATATTTTCCAAGTGTACTGAAATTCCAGCATTGAAATTAAGCATACTCATGTTAAAAGTATTTTAAAATATTATGTATGCATATAATTTGAGGGGGAATCGAAAATTAGTTCACATTAACTGTATCTGTTGAAGGCATATACATTATGTCATATGTATTTTGTTGAAGACATATACATTATGAGCCATTACTTTATTGATTAAAAAAACAACAAGTAACTAGGAATAATTAATAAAATTCCTAGAAAATGTACTTCCAACTATACAAAATTGATTATGATTTTTGAATTGGTATTCATCACGAGAAAATTGGTGGCATGTCAAAAAAATTGGGAACCAAACATGCATTTCTTAATTGAAAACTTTTATTTTGTTTTTAAAATATATTTTAAAGTTTTTAAAAGAGAAGTTTTATATTTACAAAAGTTCTGTATCTACAAAAAATAGATTTAAGGAAAATGAAATTTGTATCATAATTAATAAAAGAAACATAGTTTCAAAATAAGTTTGTGTGTCAAGGAACAATTTTAGTCTACTAGTTGCAGTTTTTTTTATTACTATAGTGAATGAAGAATGTATTTTTAGAATGTATTAATATTTAGAGAAAATGTGTACTTGTATGTATAGGTCTGTCCATCACCATCCAATGGTCATATGAATTTGATATGTCCTGTTGATGTCAATGAGCAACCATTAAAAAGCTTACCAGATATTGAGATCACTGATTATGCTATTCAGTACTTAAAAAACAAATCTCAAGGGAGCCACAATGAGGAGTCACCTTTCTTTCTTGCTGTTGGATATAACAAACCTCATATACCATTTAAATTTCCTAAAGAATATCTAGGTATCTATTTATTTATTCCCCTATAAAACATTTATGGATCCTTCAATTCTAAATATATTATCATTTCATGATTATAAGTAATCCATTCCTTTTAAATTTAGCTTTTTCATTTTTCACGTCAAATTCAAAAGTAATTCTTTGCAATTTTAAGAATAAAATTTATTAGTTTAAACATTTATGTTTTAATTTACTTGAATTTTATTAATATTTTAATAAAAACAACAGAACTATATTTTTTTCCGGATTTTGCAGAATTTATGTTAAGGGATTTAATATCACCATTAAAGTTTTGGGATTTCATGGTTAAAAAATGAATATACAATGACAGCCACTTATAAAATCAGAGGATTTAAAAATTATGAAACTGGGATTGTGAAGAAATCCAAATGAAAATTACTTATTGTTACACCAGAAGGGTGACATGAATTTCGATCAGTGAGAACTGCCTCTAACTTGAATCTCAATCAGTGAGAACTACCTTGTGAGAGAAGCAGAACAGTGGAAAAGAGCCCTAAGACAAGTAGAAAGACTTTTTCTAGAACTGTTTTTCAGGTGTGGCAACTGCGGCTGGGAGAGATTGATTGTTGAACAAAGAATGTGTGGGTGAGATTCTTTTGGAGTTTTCATGAGGATTAGGGGGCTTGCCCCCCTAATTCCTGCAGAGAGAGTTTGCAGTATTGCCTGAATGTGGTAGGCAAGAAAATAATTTCTACTCAGATGCAATGAGTTTTCCTTGTGTTTTATATCCATATACATCGAATTGAAAAATTGAAACCAATTTTATAGAATTGTAAAATTCTTTTCTTCAAGATGTGGTGTTTGCACCACTATTTTTAGTGTTGTTTGATTCCTCCAATAAATTATGTAAGTTATCTTTAATTTTGATTCTGTCTTTCTTACTAGAGCCATGTTATTTTTTCTAAAATATTGTCTTTCACTAGGATTCACTATTCTTTTTTAGCTTCCGCTATATATCTTTTTTTAGATCACGCGCCGGTCTTATATGCACACGTGCCGGCAGTAATTATCTTATAGCTTAATTCATTTTTCTTGATTGAATTATTTCTTTTCAGTTACCTGCTTGATTTAGGTAAGAAAGTAAGATATGTAATTTATAATATAGTGATTTATTTATCACTTAATTATTAACTTGCTCGAGTTAATTCCAGCTTGTTTCTTGTATCTTGGATACATCATGTGCAAACACACATGCTTCCCTTATATTTTATCTATGTTTATTTATCTCAACAAGCTATATCACTTATGAATTAAGAAAAGTTATAGAATTCCTATCGTCATTAAATGCTAATGATCATCACTCATTCTTTAAGGTAAATCTATTTTCAACATGTCAGAAAAGCATTTAAAATGAACTTTGCAGCAAAGAAAAGGAAATATTGAAAGTTACAAAAACTTTTATGAACTTTCAAACCGTGCTGAGTATTAATTTGTTAGTGAAATGTGCTGATATTTTATAACCCCTCTGTAAATAAGTAAAAAATACTTTGCTAATCTATAATTAAAATGTCAAATATAAATTCAATAAAAAAAAGTATATACTAACTGGTTAGCTTTAAGTTTGTTTGTGAAGTTTAAGTTTAAATGTTTTTTTCTTCTCATTATAGACATCTCAATTTATGAAATCAGCCACTTTAAAAAAACAAAAAAAGCAAACAAATGTTCTCTGAACAGACAAGATTTTCATTGGTGGCTGACACTGTATTTTGATACTCCAGATACAGGGCTTAGAATTAATGTTGGTTTCTGTAAGTTCGGGAGTTCTAAATTTAAACTCGAACCTCTGTAAAATAATTATCAGAGGTTGTCCAGACCAGCAATCGATGGTAAGCTGTTTTGGTCTGCACGTTTGTCTGAAATAGCATGTTTTATAATAACGTTACAAAATATATTTTTTCTTGTATCTTTCCTGTCATTCTTAATTGCTTATTATATGTACACATTAGAGACATGTTAACTGACCAGTGAAAATGTGTATGAACTAGTAATACCTTTTAATTACTGGTCCTCCGGACCAGTGATCAAATTTTCCTAATTTCTACTCCCTCAGATTTTAAATTAGTATTTTTGAACTCCGTGTTATGATACAATGTTTCTTGAGCAAAACATATTGAATGTACAACTGTCACTTTGTAATAAAGAAAACATTTTTACTGAAAACTGAATTGAACATCAATTCAAATAAGTTTTCAATAAAATTTTTTTCCTTATTACAAAGTGACAGTTGTACATTCAAAATGATTTGCTCAAAAAACAGTGTATCCTCTGCTCCTGAGCATGTCCTTTTATAGGTTTTTGAATAAAATTGCTCTAAAAAAATTAAAAATAGGTTGTATTTTTTTGCCAACAATTTTCTTGTTTGCTTTCTAACAATTAAAATTTGAATGAAAGTATGATTAAAAAAATGTGATTTGGACTTAAATGGTTTAACATATAAATTTTTTGTTTTATTTTAATTAATCAAAAAAATCTGCAAATCTACTTTAATGATATTTATAGGAAAGCTTTGGCAAAGTGTGAAAAACAATAAAATCTTGGAAAAAAGTTGTTTACTGAATTTAGAACTGAATATGACTAATCTTTAGTTCTAAAATTATTTTAGACTGCGTCTTAATCAATGAATATCTTTTTTTATTTAGCCATTATGTTTTACAATTGCACCAAATCCTATTTTTATAAAATTTTTTACAATTTTATAAATTTAAATCAATGTTGCTTGATTGTTCTCTGATGTACTTAATTTATATTATTTGTCTCCTTTAGACTTGTATCCAATTAACACAATGGATTTGGCCCCGAATTACACAAAATCTAGTAATTTACCTGACATTTCATGGAACCCTTGGACGGATATTCGAGAAAGAGATGATGTTTCGAATTTAAATGTCACTTTTCCTTATGGACCTTTACCAGAAAATTTTCAGGTATTACTTTTTAATTTTTTGATAGATAAATTTCATGTTTTTTTTTAATCGCATTTTTTAAATGAGTAAGATTGAAAAACAAAAGAAAAATGTTTTGGCCTGTGATATCACTGTACTTCAGCTTGCTTCCTCTTAATGTAACTATCAACATATTTTTTTTTTAATTTCTAAAATTATTTCTAGTATATTAATAGTCAGGAAAAAGAAACTAAATATAAAAGATAACACACTACAAATATTGTATTCTATTTTGTATACTACATATATAAAACCATAACTATAAGATTTTTTTTATCGCTTAAATGTGTTTTTTTTCTTCGTAAAATTCACTGATGAAATATTTTGAAATTATTTAATGTATAGGGAAATGCTTAGCATTTAATAATTTTTTCTTTGTTATTTTGCATCCATCTATTTTTCATTCATTAACTGCCTCTCACACTTACTTACCACTTCTGTAATTGTCATTTAATCTTCAAGGGTTTATAATATAGTTAAATGTACTGTTATCATTTAAATATGAGATGTGGATTAATTTTGTTTCCAATTGATTAATTCATACCAAGAGAATATTTTGTTTAAACGGGACATTTCTAACTAAAATACTATTCTTTTGGTATATTTTCTTGCTTTAGAATAATTATTCATTAAATTAATTAAAATGTTAAAAATAAATTGAACAAATACTTTGACGATTTTGTCTTAACTTTCTACATGTTTTTGACCTAATGTTACTAATATGGTATTTTGTGCACCCTGTTTTTGTCATAACGTTCCAGTTTAATCTTTCCATTTCCTTTTGTTTTTTGATATTACATTTTGATCTCTATGCCTTGCCTGCATGTTTGTAAATTGCAAATATTGCCAGCATACAAAGAGAGATTGAGAAGCAAATAGCATTCAAACAGGTCAGGAAACAAAATCAGTTTCCAAAATACTCTTTGGAAGTGAAATATTTTATAGTGAAAATAAATTCAGTAACTATTGCGTAAAAAAATATGCGAATTCACGATTCTTTTTAAAATTTACTTTAAATTAATTTGCATGGTTGTCTACACCTTTAGTACATGAAGTTATTTTTTTGATACTTTATTGAAATAGTTTTTTTTAATTGCATGTTTTGACACTTTTATGAATATTCTTTGTTCTTATAATTTATCTGAAAATATTCAATTTTCATTGACCGTAACAACGCTGATCAGTTTTCTTCTCATGAGAAGTTAGACTAATTTTTTTATAAATCCACTCAGTAAATGAAGACAGTACATTTTTCTTGAGAAAATTAGATAAAATAAGAGTGATAGAATGGAAGGTAAAATGAGATGAAATTTATTGAAAATTTTTATCTTATATTGGTGAAGCATGAATGCATTTATGTCTCAATTTATCTACTTATCAGGGAGGAAACTTTATAAGTGTCCAAAAGTTTATTTCCTTTCAAGTTAAGATGAATATTTTACGCAGTTAATTTAAATTTTAATGACCCAAAACCTAGTTAAAATAAACACCAAATAAAGGAAAGGCTAATTTGTGTTGTGCTATTCCAAAAAGTGTATAGAATATTTATAAAGCAAAGTATAGAATATTTATGAAACTAAACAGAATAAATAATGTCTTTTTATGTGAATATTTTCTGTGCTGTTTAGCTTTATTCAAGCAACTAAAAATGCATGAGTTTTTACACATCAGAATTTTTTTTACATATAGTTAATACGAAAAATTAAATAAGTAATAAAAAAGTTAGTAAACATAATAAATTTTTTATGTTTTAGAAACTAGCACGTCAAGGTTACTATGCTTCTTTATCATACATGGATGATCAATTGGGAAAACTATTGAACACTTTGGAAGAGACTGGGTTTGCTGCTCATACAACAATTGTTTTGATTGGGGATCATGGTATGTTGATATTTTTGCTGTGAATAATGCCTAGAAAGTTTAATACTTTAGAATCAGATTTGAATAATATTTAGATAGGTCTACTCAATGTGCCACATTCAAACTTAAAATCTCGATCTTGTTTTAGAATTTTTTTTCTTTTTTTACAAAGGGTTCAAATTTATAAGTATGGAAGATGTAGTAGAAAATTCTTGGTACAATTTTGTGTTTTAAAATGATAAGTAATCAAAAGTAATCAAAAATCTTTTGAGTAATCAAAAATTGTAATTGTTGATCAGTTCAAATCTCAAAGAAAAAATTTACTTCCAAAATGTTGACAAAAAGTTATACAAAAAATCTGAATTAAATGAGGGGTGGGGTGCTTAAAAAACCAGATGTTTTAAACAAATATAAAAATGACTAGGAGAAAATGGAAAATTTAGCTCCCTCAATTTTTTACCATCAAATTCTTCTTTATAATTTTTTAAATTTTATTTATTTATTTTTGTATAACTTTTTTTTAAAAACGATAAATAAATTGAATTTATACTGAGCTAACCACATATTTTCTAAGTTAACTAAAGTGTGTCAACTGATTATATTCGATCTTTAATTTATTTTTTGTTATTCAATATTTTGTAAGTTTTTAAATTTTATGATTATGTAAGTTTTTGTATGATTTATAAGAAAAGTTAATTAGATCTAGTTCCTTTTTATTAAATTTCACAACTTTGTAAGCCCTATTATCTGTATAATTTAAAAATGTTATATTATGGAGGAGGTGCATGGAGACAGCTTTGGCCTCTGACAGGCTGTAGTGTTGAAGAAGAAAACTCTTATTATGACTATTATAAAATTTTTTAAAATTTCATGAATTTTTTTAGCATATTATGTATGCATACATAGATGAATTTAAAATGTATTGTATGTTTGACTGAAATTAGTACTTTTTTTAACATTTGTAATATAAATATGAAAATACAGTTGACTCGCATTATAACGACCGCACCGGGACTGCCCCAATCTGGTCGTTATATCAAATGGTCGCTATATCAAAATGAGCAAATTTCCTTTGAAAATTGGTCACATAATGGTTTTAAACGTCATAATGTATGCATATACTATTTGTGGTATACATGTTATAAACCAAAAAAGGATAGGATACATACATTAATAAAACATGATGACATTTTAACAATTGAATTACAGCTGTTAACAATTAAGAATTTTATTTTAAAGTACAGATTAAAAAACATAGTATGACAAAAAAAAATCTGGTTTCTAATGAATGAATTTTTTGATGTACATAATTTGCGGTATATATAAAGAATTTTTTTTTATGTACATAATCTACAGTATTATAAAGAAGAGTAAACCGAGGAACATAAACGAGGCTTCATTAGACGAAGACATAAATTTTTTGATGTGCATTAATTTGTTGAAGTTACATGTTTTAAATTTTTGTAAAAAAAATTGGAAATTGAAGTTTGTCGTAATTTTGAGCTCTGGAAAAGCGCTATTTCCAAACTGTTAATTTTCTCCAAATGATCATCTGAATTTAGGTCAAACTCAAAAAAATCCCTTAGTGTGTTTATTGCTTCTGCAGCTTGTTTAATTGAAGGCCTTTCCTTCGGCAGAACACTAATTTCCTCGTCGGATGAAGCCTCGTCCATATCTTTATTTAACAATCCGTTTAAAATCTCCTTCTCTGTTAACTGCTCTGTACATTGTACATCATCCTCGGCCTTTGCATATTCGTCAAAGTTGTTCATGGCATCACTCAAATTTACATACCAGGAAAATTCCTTCACTATTTCATCGTCTAGGTCAAGGTCATCTAAGTGATCCATGTCCTCGCCACACGGATTTTCCTTTTTACAAAATCCTGCTGATCGGAAAAAGTTCTTAATGGTGTTTACTGAAACTTCTTTCCAAGCGATTTCTGCAGTTTGTAGAGCAACCAGCAGATCAACGTCAAATTTCATGTTGTTTTCCACATGAAATAAAATTTTGCGAATCAACATTTTCCTGTAGATTCTTTTGAAGCTGTGGATCACACCTTGATCCATTGGTTGGAACTCTGATGTTGCACTTGGAGGAAAGTACTCCACTTTTATCGCCTTAAAATTTTTAATTTCCTTTGAATGCGCAGTGCAATTGGCGACAATTATCAGAATTTTTCTGTTCTTTTGATGCATTTTTTATCAAGGATTCGAAGCCATTCTTTGAACAGCGAACCCGTCATCCAAACCTTCTTGTTGGCGCGATATGCCACAGGTAAAGATTTTACACCCTTAAAACAGCGGGGACGCTGCGAATTACCAACTACAAGCAATAGTAATTTCTCATTACCTGACATATTCTCTCCAAGCAGAACAGTTATTCTTTGTTTGGACCGCGTATTTCCTTTGCATGTTTCACCTTTAAAAACTAAAGATCTATCAGGTAAAAGTTTATAAAAAAGTGCAGTTTCATCTGCATTAAAAATATCGTCCTCACTGCAGTTTTCCGTAATTTTTTTAAAAGTTTCTTCCTTGAATATACGCACGGTATCTTTGTTTCCTGAAGAGCTTTCCCCGCATATTTTTTTGAACACTATTTCATGCCGATGCTTAAAGTTCTAAAGCCATCCATAGGAAGCTTTGAAGGATTCATTGGGATAGAGTTTAAAAAAAAAAAAAAACTGTTGCCTTTTCTTTTAAGGCATTTCCATCCAGAGGAATGTTCTTGCTACGCATGCCTTTCATCCAGTCTAAAAGGGCTTTCTCAAGAAGAGGGAATTTTCCATCTCTGAGTCGCATTCTTTCTGGTGCAGCATTTAAAATGGATTCTCTGTTCTTCACTATTGTGAACAGAGTGCTCTTAGGTATTCCAAATTTTTTAGTGATTTCAGTTTTAGGCATGAGTTTCTTGTCGATGCACTCTAAAATTTTTCTTTTCACATCAATAGATAAAGCACAATGTTTGGCTACTAAAGGTGGCATTTTTATCAAATGACAAATCAGCATGTTGAAATGCAAGCTTGCAACAGCACACTTTAATCAAATGCAAAAACCTTTTCCAGCTAAAAACAAAATGAAACTGAAAAGGAGAGGCAAAGGAAAGGAAAAGAGGTGGGGATGTGGGCAATGGGAGGGGGGGCAAGAGTAAACAAACTCACCCGATTTGACAGCTCGTACTCAATGCTCGATGACGTTTGTTGTCTACACACCCCCATACTATCCAACTGAAATCGCTTTGTCTTGACGCCGTGTGAGACCTTCGGATTCTAGGAAACAGGACTTAACAGAGGTGTGCTTGTTCAAGGTCAACCATTCAACCCCACTTTCCAACAGGAAGTTAGAAAAGAGCGGTGTTCAAATTCAGAGAGGGTCGTTATATTAAGAGTTGACCTTTTTTTACGGTCGTTATAGCAAGAGTAAAATAACGTTATCTTTTATGGATGTGAATTGGGACTCATTCACAGGGTCGTTATATCATGTTGGTCGTTCTATCACAGGGTCGTTATAACACGAGTCAACTGTATTAGCAATTTAAAGCGCACTGGCTGTATTGATTTCTTAAATATCTATTCTTTTAGGAATGTTTTATCATTATTTATAACTTACCTTTAATTAAGACATTACATGATTTTATGTGCACTACTACCTGAAATTGGTAGTTTAAATAATATTTTTTGCACTCTGGTCCTATCTAAGATTCGTGCAATTTTCTTAATTAGTCATTGAAAACTATAGTATTTTTCTTATCAAGGGAAGCCTGTCATGTAATTATGTTTTTATAAAGTATCTATTTATTGGAAACAAAAAATATTGTTAGAATTTTTGCTTTTATTTGTTTTTAGGCTGGTCACTTGGAGAACATCAAGAATGGTCTAAGTATAGTAATTTTGAAGTTTCTGTCCGAGTGCCATTGATTGTTCACATACCAGAATTGATGGAATACAAAAAGTCTCCTTTTCACTATATACCTGTTCTGGAACAAATTAAAAATAATGGATCTAGAATGGTTAAACCAAAATATGAAACCGAAGAACTCGTAGAATTGGTCGACCTTTTCCCCACCCTGGCTGCTATTGCAGTTCTCCCAGTTCCTCCACTCTGCAGAATTTACACAACTCCGTTCTGTTCTGAAGGTCTGAGTTTCTATTCTCTCATAAAACATTTAATTAAACCATCCTGGTTTGAGCTCCCATGGAAAACTGCTGTTTTTAGCCAATATCCTAGACCATCTTTAGTACCACAAAACAACAGTGATCAGCCTAAGCTGGAAGATATTAAATACATGGGCTATTCCATCCGAACAGCTCACTTCCGATACACAGAATGGGTAGATTTTGATAACCAACTGTTTAGACCTAACTGGACTGTTGTTTATGCTCGAGAATTGTATGATCATAATAACGATCCTTTTGAAGCAGAAAATATTTGTAAGAAAGACATTTGTGATGATGAGTATGAAAACACTGTTAAAGAACTTTCAAAGAAGATTAGAAAAGGTTGGCGCCACGCTATGCCTCCCAGTTATTTTGATAGTATAAGTCCTACTCGGTATTTTTAAATAGTGTTTATCATTTTTTTATAACTAAACTGAACGTTTTGTTGTTCCATGTGAGAAAATTTATTGCGAAAGTAATTATTTGTAAACTTTCATAAATTTCAAATTGCTCAAGGCATATTTTTTTTATGTGTGATATATTTGTTTATATATTTTGAATACGTTATATGTCTTCAGTTTGTTTTCTGGCAGTAGCATGAATAATTTATTGCTGGAAAGCTGACATCTAATCTAATATTTTTATGTGATATTTTTAGTATCTGAAAGCCAATGATATTTATTATAAATAGTAAGATATGTTTATTCTATTTATATTTGTTACTTTTTTAAAAAGAATTCTGAAAAGTTATTGAGATGATTTTAGATGGTTTTAGATTCTTTTAAACTATTGTTATTTTAATTATATTGATAATAATCATTGGTATAGACTTTTGATACTATATTTTTGTATCATTTATCTGAACAAGTCAAGCTGTTAAAAAGATGTATATTGTTGATATTTTATTGAAAATTTGTAATATATTTTATACATAATATATATCAGATTTTATGCATAATATATATCAGATAACATATTTTATTGTTTTAAATAATAAAATGTTGTCCATAGCAATTACAAAAAGAGAAAACAATATTTCTAAAATAAATAAAAGAAAAGATTATATTTAAAATATTAATATTTCTACAAAATTGTAATTTATAATTTGTTAGTGAATACATAGTAGTAATGTTTTGAAACAATTTGGTTATGTTTTAAAGTACATTTAAATGATTATATTTTTCATTATTTATGTTTTAAAAATAATTCGGCACAGTAAAATTTTATGCTTGATTCATTATTGAAATTTTCTGTTTTACTCAGTAACCTTTTTTTTAAAAAACTGAAATAGATGCACTGTTTCCAAAATTAAGCATATTTTTATACTTATGTTCAATGCAAAAGTAAAATTTTTTTTTTCACTTGGTAATAGAAAATAATATTAAATTCATTGCAAAATGTTTCCAAACAAAAATATACTAGATTTGAGGTTTATAAAATGCATATAAAAAGGCTTTTTACCACATTGTGTTAACTCTTAGCCCTTATTAAATTTTGTTTTAAGATATGTTTGTTTCTAAGGTTGTAATTTGTACTAATTTATTACACATATTGGCATAATCTATAACTTTTATTTTTTAAATGTCTCATATTTTTTAATACATTTTGCTTTAAATATTATAAATTAATAAGAATTACATTATTTTTTTTTATTTTGTTTATAAAAGATTTACTGTTTTTAATAATTTACTTTTGATAGTTTTTGAACTGGGCCTTTTAATAAAATTTTGCTTTAGTGGCAGGTTCTTTTTTTTGATGTTTAATTTATGTTTAAAAGTGTTAACTTTATTAATTTGTACTTTAAATAAATTTTAAAAATTTTTTTAATTAAGTTTTTTTGAAAACAAATTTAATCAAAACTCTCAAAGTGTAAGCCAAATCATCATATAAAAGCATACAAAATTTATTAATATATTTATAATTATTGTAAAGATTGTATTTTGTTTACTCATTTGCAAAATTTTAATATTTTATGATTTTTAAAAAATTAATTTTTATTCTTTGATAATTTCATATTTTACTTTACAAATGTACACATGGATGCATGCATAATTTTTCATTTTAAAATGTTGTAAGTTTATCATTAAAATATAACTATCAATTGTTAAAAAAATAGTTCAAAAACAAATTTTTTGAGCAGTTTTTCTTCAAATACACTTTTTAAAACTAATTACCATTGGTTTTTTAATGATTCCTTCATGAAGTAAAAAAATTTTTGGTCACAAGTATTAGTTGGATTTTCCTGTTTGGACAGATTTTTTTTTCCAATTAGTTTTGTTGATCTTAAGAACAGAAAAAATAATATCACTTGAGTTTGACTACTAGCTTAGTCCATTTAATGGATTGAGCACATGATATTTTTTAAATTATTCATACAAACTTTTGGGTGAAATTCACATTTTGTGTAATTTCTAAATTTTAATTTTAGATATTTCTTGTCAAAAGTGTCCCATTTACTGCAACATTCAACTTTATGTGTGTTTTTTTGTGCATGTTGATGACTGCTCATTAATGTGAACAGTTTGTTGACCACTTGGTTTTGCAGACTTTTGTCACCATTACCTAAATAAATAATTTCTATTTTGGCTCTTATTTATCATTCACTTTTTACATAGATTTGCCCCAAAAGCATGATTCAAATTGAATTATTAAATATTTTACTTAATCTCGTTAATTTTGTACCACAAAACTAAATTGGTTACTAGGAAAACTGAAAATTTTTAGCTGTGATGTTTTTTCTGAAAGCAAATGCAAACTTAATGATTTATGATTGCAAATATGACTATGTTATGTTGAGTCATATAAAACTCTTATTTTAAATAAAATAAAAAAATGTAAAATTTTTGTTCTTATTTTTTTAAAGTCTAAAATTAGTTCTTTTATAATCTTCAAAAAAGTTTTTTTTTATAAAAAATTAATGATGAACACCAGAAAATCAACCACTAACTTTAATCAACTACTGAGAGTTGAAACATAAAATTTTAAGACAATTAAATAAAACATGTTAGATTTGTGGATTTAAGATAAACATGTATCCTAAAAAAAATAGCAAATATTCTGAAAAATTGCCCTACTGCTTTAAGTGATTTGGTCCTAGATCCATATTTTGTAAACAACTGAAACATTTGTAAACCATTCCTCATTAGATAAAAAAGAGTTAAAAATTACACCCCTTTTTATGGGGCGTAGCGTTTTTAAAAAGTGCTTAAAGGTGCTTGTTTTCGATTTTCGTTTTTTAAAACCTCTTAAAGGTGCTTTTTTCATGGGGTGTTTTTAAAAAGTGATTAATTTACCCTTTTCGAAAATGAGATTTTTTTTTCTTTACTGTGTCAATTTTTGTTGTGTACTATGCAAAAGTGTGGTTTTCACATTGTTCTATTCTACCTTTTCACAATTCATTCAACCACTATCCATTTTGGCGTACCGTCAGTACGTAACGTATGAAAGCGCCAATCATGTTACATGTTTGATGAAATACTTGGGAGTGACTACTGAACTGGGTTCGGTGAGATTCTTGCACTCTCGTGTGCAACTCTGCTGCATTTTGCAAGATATTCTCAATTTCAGGCTTCATTTTCCGTCCTCTGAAGTTGAACCGAAAAATCTCTCAATCTTTTTATTGCGGCCAATATAATCAAGAAAAGCATTCTTTGTCAGAAACTAGTTATTTAATCATGATCATGTAAAGTCTTTGAAAATTATTTCTAATTTTCTTATTGTACTTTAATACTAATGCTTTAATGCTAATGTAATGCTTAAAAAGTACTTTAAAGATGCTTATTTTTTGTTGAGACATTTGGCTACGTACCCTGCCTTTAATAACTTTGATTTTTTAAAAAAAAATCTTTTTTAAGAAAAATATCTATACAATAATTAATTAAAATATCTATACAATAATAATTAGTTAAATGAAATAATAAGTCTTTTATTATTGCCAAAATTTGTACTAATTTTTTTATATTAAATCAAAGTTTTTGAATAAAAAGAGACATTTGAAGATGTTCAAAATTGATTAAAATAGTATGTCTTGTTATACTTCAAATTTTAATCCCCCCCTAACATGTATTGAACCTTTGACACACTTATGCATTAGAATGAAAAGCAAAAATAGCTTAGGATATACGTTTAATACATTTATTTATGAACTAGAATTATTTTATGAAAAGTGGAAAACCCAACAATGGATTCCCATTCATTGCGGTTTATGTGGAAAGGCAGATTAACTCCCTCCCCCCCAAAAAGGAACCTTTCCAACTTCTCCCTCTCCTGTATTACTTTCTATTTATATGAAATTTATTTTGTAATGTGCAATATGCTCTCTTCTATCCTGTAATTCAAGAAAATATTTTTAAATCTCCTACAATACAATATTTGAAAATACCATCTGTATTTTCAAATAGAAAAATAATTTGTTTTATCTGTTTGTTATATGTATTACTAAAACAGGGTTGTCACAGTCGTCTAAAATGCAACTACTTTCAGCATGAGGCGACTATGGCAACTTTTTTTTTGTCTGAAAAGGCTAAAAAAGCAACTATTTTCAGAAAAGGAGACTATTGGGAGACTTTTCTGTACTCCTAGCTATTTTTTTTAAAGCATAAATTGGGTTGAAGATCTGCAGCCAGCGAGAGCTTCTGAACACACGAAGTTTTTTTTTTTTAAAAATAATAAAAAATTATGAAAATTTTGAATTGCAGATTGGAGTCATCAATTTTTAATTCGTTCAATTTGCATAGATTCTATTGTAAGTCTATTTAGTTTTTCGATCTCCTTTTCAATGGTTATTACTACGAAATTCCGCATAAATTAAGAAAACCCCCAATTTTTCATAAGATATTGCGATGCGTGAATTTCGAATTTGAGTACTTCACAATATGTGTGTGCATGTATATATATATATTTTCTAAATCAATTATTGATAAAAGGGCAAATTTAAGAAAAAGTATGTTTTTTTAAAGGAAAAAGTATTTTTTTGAATGTAATCTAGTAAATAAAAGTATTTAATTTTCTGCAAATATACTAATTTTTTTGATATAAAAATTTAGTGCTGAAACACTAACGTTTTTACAAAAATTATCATATTCGCCAACAACTTGACAAAATGGATCACGGTATATGACAATTAAGTAATTTAATAAAATTTTAGTCATATTTTTGATGAATTTTTGTTCTTATTTAGGTAACTATTTTCATAGTTTTCGGCAACTATTTTCATGCTTTAGGCTACTAAAAGCAACTATTTTGTTCGTTTTTTTGTGGCACTCCTGTTTAAATGTATGTATGCCATTTTAAATAAAAAACAAAAAGACAGCAAAGTTTATGATAGTTTATTAATTTTTAAATTCGACATGGACGGAGTTTCAGCACAATATAATCAATAGCTTAGTCTGAGTAGCATCAGATTTCTTACAAAATGAATGTGATTTGCTCTACAAAAATATTTTGAAACTGTTGTCCCCAAAGTTAAAATATTTCAAATGAAGCGTTATATCAGTTTAAACAAAACATTTATATTTATTTATTTGCAACCTTCTTAAATTCATTTTCTTCACTATCAAAGAAATAGTGAGGAAAAAAGTTATTCGTAATTGTCCAGAGAGCGCAAATGAAAACTTTTTGAAATGTTTGTTTTTCATTAACGCTCTTCTAAATCTCTTCAGCTTTTTCTGTGAGAATTATTATGTTATGTAACGTAGTTTCTTGTGGCTTTTTAATGGATTAGATGATATGTATCATATAAATTTAGATACAATAAGTAAATTTTAGAATTCTTCGTCATAAATTTTTTTTTTTTGAAAAGAAAAGCTTTAAATTTTTTTTATTAAGAATATGACATAAAAGCCAAATCATTTAATTAATTTTTTTGAAATTTGTAGGATGTTGGGAAACACAGACATTTATTGTTATTTTAAATGTAATGTTGTCAAACAAATTACGATTTTTTTAAAATTGATATTCATGTTTATAATATTTTATTTATTTAGAGACATTACACTAATATGAATTCTACTCTATGCTCTGCATTGGAAAGTGTTCGAATGATAAGTTTATTGTTCTAAATTAACACTATTAACAGAAAGCAGATTTATATTTTTCACTATATTTTTGGGTGGAAGAAAATATTTTTATTTATTTATCATAATCTGAAATATCCGACGTCTAAAATGTTTTTTCAAAATAGTAGGGGTGATAGAGAACCTGTCCACTTTGAGAAACAAAATGTAGAAAAGTAGTCTGAAGTCGAAACGCCTCTAAGGTCGGATTAGATCCACTAGGATCTTTCTTTTTTTCTCTGAGCAGAGGAAATCTTTTGACGGGCAGCACACACAGGGAGCAAGAAATATGTGGTATGCCTGTAAACTTTGCTGAAGGTTTCGTGATCGTTATTGGCCTAACATTTCAATTTTACTTTTTTCACTTTCATTTTTTAAAAACGCGAGATTTACTTTGCATTATTCTCAGTTTAATATAATTCTTTCAGCATGCTAATTTGATCAATGCCTCAACAGTACCTGCAGTTTTTTCAAGTTCAAAAAAAACCATTGAATTCGAGGATTCTTAACAACTTGGTAAGAGTTAAAAATTATCTTGTTTAATACTCGTTCTGGTGAATAGATGACAGTAAAACGGTATATACCTTGAAAAAACGTACTGTGCAATAAAATAGTTAACATTTCCACCGATAGAGCACGTTTTTATGTATGAAATGGGACGTTAATGTAATCTGGAGTGGTTTAAAAACACAGTAGTCATTGCACCAAGCCATAACAGAAGATAGAAAGAACTCAAAAAATATGATTATCAAATCCGAAGAGACTCTTGACTGAAACAGCTTACGAATGACACGTCACGTTGTTGCAAAAGAGCTCTTTTTTTAATTTTTTTATAACGCTTTTGAACTCGCTTGTGACACATTTCGAACACGTGTTTGACGAAAATAGAATGCACATTGAGCTTATGCTGTGAGTTTAAAAAGCTCAGTGCTCCCACGAAAGCATGTCATGCGTTTGGAGGGGGCTCTCTCCCACCCTCTTGAGTTCCCTCCCATTTTATGAGAATCATAAAATGGGAGGGGACTAAAGCACCCCAAGTTCCGCGGTACCCAGAAAATATTTACGTCTCCAATTTGTGCTTCTTTCCACGCCCATCTTTTCCACGACTGGTGGTCAAAGTATGATCTACATGTTTCTCGTAACGAATATAACAAGTTTCATATTCATCCATTAACCAGAACGAATTCTGTGTTGGTTAAATAGGGTAACACAATCACACCCATAAACTTTTACTAACTATCACTCCTTTGTTGTACTTATCTAGGATTAAATGCTATCATTGACTGATTGCAACGTTTAGTAGCCATCATGTGGATTAAAGTTAAAAAGTTAGTTTAAGCAGGAATCCCACGTCATTAGGTGTCTTCACGGTATTTTGTTCTGCATATTATTTCATCGCAATATTGTAGCGCGTAATAAATAAATCGTGTCAGCACTAGTAATAAATAATTTATAATAAGCTTAAAATTTAACGACCGAATTGTTCTGGAATGTACAATAAAAGTTCTCAAAAGTACTCCATTTTGTCTCCGTTAGAAGTTTTCAAAGCGTCTTGAGAATTTACATTCTTGTATTCGAGTCTGTGAATTCTTTGCTTGAAGTTGTTTTGTGATGCTATGAACTCTGCAAAGAATCGAGCCAGGCGAGTTTGTAGTACTTCCATAGTATTATCCAATCTCTCTATTTTTTCCTTCATAGTTTCTTCTGCAATCTCAGCAGCTTTGATATCGGCTTCGTCCAGCAAACCATCTTTCATTAAAATTTGCTTTCCCCTCTCTATCAATAACTTTTGGGCTTCTGGATATTCTTCTAAAACCTTAAAAAACAAAAAATCACTTAAAACTTGTTTTAATTCGTTGAGACAAGTATTTACTATTCCGCAGTCTCATAGAAGACGCGAACTGTATCTCATTAAGCGAAATGTGCATAAGCTAAGCTTTTTGTTTTTTCTTCTCTTTTTCCTTTCACGATGTCATTTATTTTAAAAGAACCAGAGGGAAAAACCTTTCCTTGGACACCCTCAGCCATTCCAAAGTTTACCCTTTTTAGGTGGCTTGGTCTGAACTTTCACTGGTAAATTTTATATAATCAATATCGATTAATGAACTTTCGTATAATTCTTTAAAATAAATTTTTTTTGAACTTATGTCTAATTATAACAGGGTTCCACAGAGTTTAAAGGGAATTTGCTTTTGCCAAAAAAACTCATAGACGTGTCACGGAATAGTACAATCCTATTTGCTGTGTGTGTGTGTTATAAAGTCTAAAATTATTGAAAAATAATTGGCTAGCAAAAGCATGAATAAAAGTAAAAATATTAAAAAAATAACGGGCTAGCAAGAGCATGAACAAAATAAACTAAACTCATAAAGTGATGAATAAAAAAAGAAAAGAAAAAAAAGAAAAGGCAAGCGATAAAATTAGAAGACAATTTTCAGAACAGAGTTGTTGGTTTTTAAGAGATTAGTTTTGTTTTGGAATTTGAGTTTTCTTATAACCCGTTACGGGTTTTTCTAGTTTGTTTTACAAGATTATAGCTATCCCGTTACGGGTACTTCATATTTGTTACTGTTTGTGTTGTTTGTGAATAAAAGTTTTTTTTCTTCATGAAAAACAGAACTCTTATTTATATAGCTTGATACGTTACAGTGTATATTAAATGTGCAATTAGTGCAATTTAAATGCAAATTAATTATATCTTTTTATGTAACTCAAAGACAATCAGCCTTTATTGAACTCAAATATCCAATTTCGTTCTCACAAAAAATGCTTATACTTGCTGGAATTCTAAGTATGCATTTAAGAGGGAATACTAAACAAGTAATTTCACTCCTTAAATAAATATGCGTCAAGTATTCTGAAATTCACGTAAAAGTAAACTAGGTTCACTGAAAATCAATAATTCCAAATCTTAAACATCTTAACAAACATTTCAAGCAGACATTTAATGATTTATGCATTTGGATGATACGCAAAAGAGGGATTAATAATTTTACGTTTATAAAGTATTTATTTTGTAATTCCTTTAATTTAAATCTGGACATTATACTTTTGTTTTATAAATTAATTATTATTTTTTCAAAAACATTTTAATATTTTTATATTATGTGAAAAATTAATTCTATTTAAAGTAACATTTATTTATTTATTATTTCATTAGCTATAAATATTGAAGTCGATTTTAAGTTGAAGTAGTTTTACTAGGTTCATTGTTATGATAAAAAAAGATAATAGTTCGCATAAAAAGAAAAGGAACATAAAGGAAAATGTGTTTTGCTTGAGGCTGTTTGAACTCTTTTGCTAAAACAGCATACATACAAAATTTATCCTTCAATTTTTTTTTATTATCCCATTAAAATAAATATCGACTGAAGAAAATGGATTTGTAAGTTTTATTGCTGCAGCTCAAATTCATCGTAACTTGGAAATCTGAGGCATTGCATTTTATATTATGCACAATTTAAAATATCGTGTCTTGGAATTAATAAAAAAGGTTGAATTAAAAAAAATTATTTGGTTGAATGACTAGAAAATTGACAATTGTGGTAAATCTTGGCAATTTAATGGTACCTCATTTGGTGTAATTTTTTTTTTCCTTTCATTTTCCTTTTAACTCTCAACTTCTGCAAAACAGAGCTAGCTTATAAAATAAAATTTAATAGAGATTAATGAATTTTCTGACATCTCTAGTAATAAAGGATGAATGTGCATGGTTTCAAACAAGAAGTGAGAAAAATTTGCGAAAAAAAAACCCGCTGTAGAGTGCAATAACTTTCGAAAACGTAGGGATTTTGAAAAAACACTCCGTCTCAAGTGCCAAAATAAAACAGGCCTTTTTAGCTTGTCATATTGCAATGTCCTAGTCATCATTTTTTAGGGCTGCAGATTGATCTGAGTGATGTTTAACAGTTAATGTTTCTCAAACTAATTAATGATAAAAATGTTTCTTCAACCAGGGCTCGAAAAATCGCCCGTCCTCGGCGGTCAAAAATTTCTAGCGGCCAACGAATTTCTCGAATCAGACGTCCGCGCGGACGGCCATTTTCCCGTTAATGTTCGTGACACACTTTCAATTTTTGTTATCTTACAAGAGTCTAGCGCCTCACTTCTAAAATGACCCTCTAATCTAGAAATCCCGTACAGCAACATACTGCGCATGGTGGATTGATGTTTTTTCCGTCTGGGAGTACTGCAGCAGTTGAAAGGGACTTTTCAGCAATGAACTTACAAAAAACACATTACGTAAGCGTTAAACGCAATTATGGACATTCATCTAAATCAGGGTTTCTTAACCTGTGGTTCATGAACCCCTAAGGGGTCCATGAGTTACAATTTGGGGATCCACTGACTACTAATTTTTAAAACGTTTGAAAGCCTACCCAGTGCTTGTAAAGCGAGCTATGGCAGCTATAATTCCGTTTGCTACAGTGTATGTTTGCGAAGCGGGATTTTCCACAATTGTGACAATAAAAACATAACATCGAAATACCTCGATTGAATGTTGAACATGATATGCACGTTGCTTTGTCGAAAACGATCCCCCAATGTAATTTATTAATTAAGGAAAAGCAGCAGCAACCTTCACATTAAAAATTTTAATTTCAAAAATTTTGTATACTATTAAAATAATAAAATTAAATGTTTTCTAATAATTGATGTTTTTTGCAATTATTTTTTTCTCAGGGGGGAGGTCCGTGACTTCTAAATTTTTTTTAAAACGGGTCCATTATATCAAAAAGGTTAAGGAACACTGATATAAAAGGGAAACCCCTTTCAGATTTCTGTGCAGAAGCCTCTGTAAATCATAGGCTTGATTGTAGAACTGGCAAACGTCATATTTGATTCATTTAAAAAACGCAGTACCCTCGGATAAATTGACATTCCAGATAACTTGACCTTTGTCATTTAAATTATTTCATAAAAGAAATAAATTATTTCATAAAAGAAATAAATTACTTCATAAAAGAAATAAATTATTTCATAAAAGAAATACTAGGTTTTATTAGTAGTAACCTAGTATTTCTTTTATTACTGTATAATGTAATCCTAGTAGCTACTAATTCATTGTGTAATTTATATAAATGTTTGTAACAAATAAGAAAAAATGATATTTTTATTTATTTAGAAGTGGCTGGTTAGTTTCAAAGGAGGACGGGTACATAATTGGACAAGCAGTCCTCGGGGACGGGTAAAATTTCTGACTTTTTTCGAGCCCTGTCTTCAACCGTTCTTCCAGTACATTTACCACGCATACTCGTAATTTCACGTTGCCATGGTGTCATAGTATTCGTGTAGTAAAATAAAATACAACATAAAATTGAACACCGATTGACTTACGATTTTAATTTAGAGATAATTTCCATGTAATTTTTGCGTAAATGATACAAGTAAAGTACTTTCTTTTCTTACGTAGTAAGAAATAAAGTTCAAATTAATCAATCAATTGGTATTAATTAACACTACGCCACGTAAATTGAAAGGCATATACTGTATTGTAACAATTAAAAATAATTTCTTTTTATAAAACTTGTTTTAAGAACAAGAAAAAACTTTCTAAAAAAAAAGATTTACTTTGCTAGAAGTTATTTATAAGATTGACCCAGGATTGAAAATTTAAGTAAAGGGGCTCAGAAAATGACATTACTGATCTCGTCTTCTGCACACGTTCAGTCTAGTTTTATCACAATTATAACCGATGCACTAACACTTTAGTAAAATATAATAATTTTTTTTCTTATTTCAGTTACCGAGGACCATTTCTTATGTTTCTAGCTTAACAGTAAATATCAAAAGGTAACAATAAACAAAATAGACAAGTAAATTCAGAAAGTTTCGAAATGCTAGTTTATGAAATCTTCCTCATTTTTCATACAAGTTAATTTTACTAGAGCTTAACCTACTTGACAGAAAAACAAAGGCAACAATTATTAAATTTGCCATAAACACTCAGTGTAAATTGTTTTTAAATGAATAGAACAGAAAGCTAGCAAGCATCACATATTCTCTTTAAAATAATAAAAAAGAAAAAGACTTTGAGGTTTAAATTGCAAGAGTGAGAAAAATTCATTTTTCTTTCGAATGGTTTAATTAAATTTTTGTAATGATTTCTAGAATGTGGGGCACAAACTGCTCTTCTGATGTTCAAATTTCAGGATCTTTGTGAATGGTTACACAATCTCTAATTTTTGTTGTTTAGTGTATTTAAAATTTTTTAATATAGCAAGGAAGTTTCTCTAATTGCTCATTTTTAGTGCACACTGTTACTCAGGTGCTAATTTAAATGCTACAGGTCATGAATGGGAAAACTGTGACAATAAAAAATAAATACAACTTGTTACAATTTCAATATTTCGAGAAGTACTTGTATATTTCTTTATTATGGCTTTCAGAAATGTTTTACTTATTTAAGATCAATTATTACAATTGATAACAGAATGTCTTCTGAAATAAAAAATCGACTGTATCTGGAAAAGATGTAGGCTGATCTATGGGCTGAAGATTTATAAAATCTAGGTTTCATTCTAGAAAAACAATCTTGTCAGGCCAGTCCTGACATATGCGTCTAAAGCTTAGACAATGACAAAACTGGAGGAAAATTGTACGCAATATCTATTGGTGTAAATGAAAGTAATAATTGGAGAAGGAGATTTAACTTTAAACTGTACAAGATTTAGAAACAACCAGATATTATTAAAAACTTAAAAATAAATAGAATGACTTGGATGGCCCACTTGATTAGAATGAGTGATGAAAATACAATAGAAAAAGACCCACTGGAACAAGAATGCGATTAAGGCCACGGTTAAGATGAACTGACTCAGTGGAGCGTGATTTTCTTGCAATTAATGAAAAGAATTGGAGATCAAAGTTAAATCGGAAATCGGCATTGGCCCATACTGAGCTGTCTGGATAACCATGATAATTATGATGGCTTTCAGAAATCACGAAAAGAATATTTTCAAAAATAGAATGTGAATATTATAAGAATGTGTAAAAAATACCTCCCATAAATCTTCTTTAGAGAGACAAAACAAATCAGAGTATCCAACGCTTCTGACATTCGCTGTTCGACGATTGCCAGTCTTTACACCAGAGATGTTAAGTAAGCTGAGCTCTCCGAAAACGCTGCCGTCGCATAAAGTTGCAAATACCGTCTTACCATCATCACCAACCACCTGAAGTTTACCTCTTTTTACTATGTACATTTCTTTCCCAATATCACCTGTGTTAGACAAAATGAAAATCAACAACGTCGACAGGGATGACTCGAAATATACAGATTATTATTATTTTTTATAGAAAGAATGCATTCAAATATGAAGAGTTTAGGGGAATAAAATGATAAGCCACAAACATTTCATACATATTTTAAGCCCAAAGTTTCTTTAATTTTGCTTCCAGATAGATACATTACAAGTATTCCTAATTATTACTATATAGTACCACAATACAGATAAACACCTTGTTGCCTTCATAGGTATAGTTTTACACCGACATTTCAAATGTGGCTTATCATTATTTTGCCCTAAAAAAGCTCTCCATGTAGTAATCCTTTATTTCTTAGCAAGCAAGAGAAAATTTTGATTCGTCAGAGCCAATTTAGAAATGCTACCCGCAGAGTTATTTACCTTCTTCAGATAAGAGCAAATTTGACAACCCGAGATTCCCTAAATCAACTTTTTTTAAATTTAGTTTCTGTTAAATTATTTTTTTAATGTTTGATTCATTATTATTATTATTTGTTTTTGTTTTTTTCATATCCTAGTCAACTTTTATCAACATTTTAATACCTTATTCTACTTTATTCTTATTATTATTGTACTGATCAATTTTGACGCTATAACCACAACTGGGTTTTGTGCTTTAAATTCTTCATTCAAACCTATCTAATTCAGTTGCATTGAGCATTTTAATAGCAAAACGGGTAAAAAAGCTTCGCAAATAAAGCATGACACTCGTATTACGATTCCTTCATTTCGCCTTCATTTTCTTCAAAACGTCAGTAGCAATTTTTAAAGTATATTTTCTAATAAATTGGCTTTTATGCTAATTTTTTTACTTAGTCTCAAAGAGTAATCAAGGGAAGATAATAGGTATAAAATATTTTATGCCGCAAATAATTATTACTAACTGATGTTGGAATATTTTTCTTGAGAGCTCGTTAAGTATTTATGTTTCTCATGTAAATATTATTAAAATCAAATTACTATTTCACAAATTTGGACATAAAATATGTAAAACATTTATTTAATGATGAAAATTTTATTACACTATGAATCTGAAATTTTGCTATGAATTTCAACTATAGCGTCCCCTGGTAAGTTTATTTTGAAAACAAACTATTTGAAATAATAAAAACATCGGTTATGATAACCTCTAAAGTAAAGTAAAGTCACGTAATGAAATGATTTCGATGCACAATTCGGAAAGCTTCTCATGAAGATGTTTAAAATATTTAGTATTCCCTTTTTTGAAAAGCAGTCCTATTGTTGAAATTTGATAAAAGTCCAAATTATTGCTTCGAAATAATTTTAGCGTTGATTAAAATTTTTGACTTAATTGTTATTTAATCTTCTGAACATTTTTCGTACTGCTTTAACATCCATTTTTCATACGGGTTTAAGAGAAGTCAGGAACTAAGAAATCAATATCAATCTACACTACGCAATTGCGCACAAAGCCATCTAACGATGCAATGAAAACAGTTAAAATACTTTCTATATCTCTTTCAAAGTGACTTTACGATATTAAATGAAATAAAAAACTTTTTTGGAAGATCAAATCATCGAAATAAAGATTGATTATATATAATTGATCATGATGCTCATGATAGCGGGCAACACATGATAGTTAAGATTTACAACAACCAAGTTGTTTTCCAGATGAATTTCTGTAGGAAGTATAACTATTTCAGAATGAAGTAACAGTTTTTTTTAAAGTTTTAATTTCAATTACCGGTGATTCTTCATTATTTAGAGATGAATAGAAAAAAGTTTTAAAAAGCGTAACTAGAAAAAAAAATAATCACGTGATTTCACTTTACGTTGACTTGTTCGAACTTGACCAAAGAGGAGGAAATAAGAGGCACCTCTTGCATAAAATATTTAATATTTCCTACCTGATTAGTTACGATACATACAAAAGGTTTTCAGAAATGATCGACCATTTGAAAATATAAGGAAAGAAAAACAGAAAATTACGATTTATCATAATTTACGCTGAAATTTTGAAAAAAATGTTTTTCACGTTTTCATGAAAAAATGTTTTTCATGTTTTTCACGTTTCAAAAATGCTTTGACGACAGTATTTAGACGGTGGTTATTCTGAAAACATGGTTTTACATCTTTTCTCATTTAGTAAAGCCATCTGTTGGTGTACTTTGTTATAAATTTTGAAACTTTGTAAGTATTTCACAGCAAACTGTACGTATCTATCACACACATTTTTTTAATTGATAAGTTGGTCGGTTATTTTTGAGACAATTACATTTAAAACAACAGAACTGACCTTTTCGGCATATGTAGTCACCAGGGCTAAACACCTGCAATCTCAGTCTCAAGACAAGCTGAACAAGCAAACCAGGTTCGCAATCTTGGAATATTCTAACTTGTTTCAATGTGTCAAGATGGACGTGGATTGCTATTTCAGCTTTGAGTTTGTCCGGCAAGGTTGAAGTGACAGCATTTTCATCTAAAGACTGCTTGTTGGTCCAAAGGTAATCGAACCACTTGATGACTCGGTTTTCCAAGTCCTCACCCACTTTTCGAAATTCCAGATACTGCTTCACGTTGTCCATTCTACTCTGAAATTCTGCTCTGGCTGCATTCATGTTGGTAATCATGCTTCCGATGTTCCCAACAATTGTAGCAAAAATAAGAACTCCGACCAAGAAATCAATCACGACAAATAAGTATTCAATATCTTGTTCAGGTACAGGCACTTCACCAATTGTAGTCAAGGTTAATGTTGACCAGTAGAAACTGTATATATACTGATGTCGAAGGGAGCCATATTTAGGATCCGATACATTCTTGTATACCTGCCATACATAGAATATTATAGATCTATAATACAATATAAATTATACACCAAATGCGTGTTTATACATTTAAGCATAAAAGAACCGTAATTTCATACTTGATTTTCATTGTGGGAAATAGTGACGAGACCTTGATTAATTAAATTAAATAATATTAAATATAGAAAAATATTTTCGTTTTAAAATTTGCTTTAAAATTTAAAAACTTTTAAATCAGAAATGATGAAAAAAATTGCTTCGAAGGTAAAATTAATAGTAATATTTTATAATAATGCGCATGTATGCTTTATCTTACATTATTAATTTAAATGTTCTTTGTATAGGAAAATATTAAACTCAAAGAAAAGTAAGAGATAATTAAAACAACTTATCACGAGAGAAAGCAGTGGAATTATTAAAATTAATATCCAGTCATTTGATATTGCAGTTGAAAAGTTGTGGCCATGCAAAATTCATCTTAGAATATCCAACTTTCTTACCTCTGAAAAGGCAAATAAAAGTATTGCTAACCGATAAAAGGAACGCACTTTATATTAATTAAAGAGCTTGGTGCAGCACATTGATAAGACGCAATTTTTCCAATGAGCACTATTCAACAAAAAACTCTTGCTTACTATTGTTTCCAGACATGTACTATACACTGTTTCGGATAGCAGCGCAATACACAGTAAACCTTACAGTACACCTTACTGTCTACCTGGAAATTATAGTATTGTAAAGAAAAAGAACTCTCCTACATCATTTGGAAATGTCACTTATCGTTATGATTCCCCAAGCATATCAGTGTCAAAAATTATGCTAATAACTAAAATAGGTTAGAAATCATTGATTGATATTGGATTTTGATATCAAAAATTTGAGAAAGTTCTGATATTGCAACAAATTATTGCATGCAATGTAAAATGCAAACACAAATTTATGTTTCCGACACTTGCTTACAAATGAAGCTTAGTTGAGGAATAAAGACTGCAAAAGTTAAAATATATTATCCACTTTTTTTGATAACATCATTAAGCTCTAGCTATTAATAGAACAGCGAACGTTCTAAATATCTTGTATTCGTCATCCAATGAACGTCAATGAAAAGGGGAATTTAAACCAATCAAATTAGTTACTTTGAACCAAATAATTTCAACAAATTATAATTAAGTGAAAGAGAGAGTTTACAATTCGTATGAATACAGTGATTTGTTCTCACTCACTTTAGTACTATTCAGGAATGAATTCTTGGTTCAAATTTGTTTAGCAAGGCAGTTTTCGAAATTTACTTCTGAATTGCATACATATATATATATATATCCGCAAAAAGGAGTACTTTCTAATATTGTATCGATATAGCCAAAGCAAAATATATTAATACAATAGTGTGAAGAGCACTAAAAAAAAATTGAAACTAAATAGAACATATTAAGTAAAAAATGTATCGCGTAAAAAACAGAAAATAAAATGTAAGGAAAAAAAAAAAACAAAACACAAACCGAAATCTATAAAGCAAGTAGCGAATTCAAATTAGCTTAAGTGAACTACATACATGAAACTTTCCAGAATAATTTAAAATATTTTCGTAATAAGATTGCTAGATTACAAAATATGAAAACAGAAGCTCAAAGTAAGCTAAAAGCGTAAATAGAGGATTTTTTGCTTCATGGAGCGCTCTCACTGCAATACTGAAGCACGTTTGATACGTTAGTTACCAAGGATTGGTCCGAAAATGGATGTGTGCAAGGTAATAATATTATACTGTATAATTTAAAGAGTTTTATAATTGATAAAGTTGATATTTAATTATACAATTTTAATGATTTTAGAAAATTAACATTCATTAAAAAAAAGAGAAATAAAGAGACATGATTTGAACGTTTTGTAATGATTTTTAGTCACAAAATTGGATTTGCACTTAATAAAAGTATTAATTAACAGAGAAGTTTTTGGTAAGTTTATTAATAATAACATACAATAAACTCAATGATTTTATATAAAATATAATTACTTTCCACACGTCACAGTTTCGCATCCATTATTTTTTTAATAAATTAAATCAAAAGAGTTTGTCTATTTGTTGTATAAATAAACATTACTACATATTCTTTTTATTCCATTCATTTGATTAAAAATTGTACTCAAATAGATGTTTGAAGAGACATATGAATTCCAAGTAATTAGTTGACTTATATCTAAATTAAAATCACTTCTTTTTTCGTAAAAATCAACAAAGCAAATATTTTCCTCTTTTTTAATATCCAAAAAATTAAAATTAATATTATCATCATGATTACGAAGCAAGATTAATTCTTCGGGGTAAATATTATTTAATAAAATTGTATAATCTTGAATATTAAAGATAATTAAATCATCAATAAATCTAAAAACAAATTTAATATTAAGAGTATAATTTTTTTCATAATAGTGCAAAAATAAGTTAGCTAAGAGAGATGAAAAATTAGATCCTTGTGGTATTCCATCAGTTTGAATAAAAATGTCTTTCTCATTGTAAAGTGTTAGTTCTCACTTCATAATCAAATAACCCATTACTTCATTTTAAATTTCCTTCCGTTTCATCCTTAAATTAAGGTTTCTGACGGCAAAATTTGTTTAAATTACTAGCATTAAATGTAATTTTATGTCCATAAAATTATCATTACCATAAAGTACAAGACTGCGCATAGATACTTTTTCGTAAAATATATGGCTACTGTCCATAAATACTGTTCTTAAAAGTTATCTTCAGTTCGGGACTTGACGATGTTTGATACTCAGACGATTTATTTGTAGATTCAAGTCAAACGTGGTGCAATGCAAATGTCGTAGGTGCATTTGTCGTAGAGCAAAAGAGTTGCGTGCTTTTTGTCCGTGGTTGCTAATGTAGACGAAATGCAAGATAAATGTTCTTTGGCGTTGTCTGGGCTTGAGCACCAAATCTATATGCCAGTAGTTTGAGGCTATAACCATTATGAAAAACATTATCATTTCTGAATTGAGTTAGCTTTACGTAACACCGTATAAATAACCGGTGAACTCTACTAATTTTATTGAAACGCGTTACAATTACGGGCTCTGTTTTTTTTCTCTCTCCAAAGAACTGGGCTGGCTTCATAAACTAATGGTAAATTTTACTAATTTAACTGAACTTCATTAGAATTACGAGAAAGGTTTTTGTTCTTAAACATGCCGTATAAAATAATGGCCGAACCTTCGAATTTTGGAGAAATTTCTTAGAATGCTTAGCAGTTATTACTGCTGCTGGCAGTTGAAATTAAAATACAAACCCAAGAGTCTGTACCAAATCCAATGGCGTAACTCATTGCAAAGAAGAAGCAGGCATTCCAGTGAATGATAACTAAGATATAAAAAATAAGTTTTCCTATACGAAATGCATATGGGAAGTTTGTTCTGGTTTCGGTTCTGTCGAAAAACTCCAACATTCTTGGAAACCTGAAGAGTCGATTGAGACGCACGATGACAGAGCAGGGAACTTGGTGATCACATCCTGTACCCGTTACAATGTACAGTAGGTCAGTCGGGATGACGCTTATGAGATCTAGTTTGAAAGGGAGAGAAGACGTATAGTTTTTTAAAAGTTTCTTTCTGTCACGAACTAAGAGACCTTGTTCTAAATATCCTGTAAAAAGAAAACCATTTTTAAAATTATAATACAACATTAAAAAAATTTTTTTAATTTTTTTTTAATAAATGATATTTGTTCAAAAATGCATTTCATATTACAGTTTACAGCTCTTCACACATTTTTAAAAGAAGCAAACGAAGCTCAAATTTTATTTTTATTGTTATTTAAGTCTTGCTGTTATGTACTTTGTAATTGGAGTTTTCCATTTCTGGCTATTAATTTAACTTTAAATCTAACATCATCTGAGTCAGCCCAACGATTTTTAAGATGAAAGGGACGTTATAAAATTTTTAAAATTTAAAAAGAGTGATTCTTTTTTAAAGGCACAAGAAGAACGATACATGTTTTGTCATAATAAAATGCAAAGCACTGTGTTAATATGGTGATGTAGTTGAAAAGCAATTCAAAAGCTCTTTGCTATTGTCACCAGGTCCCACAGTGGACTGATAGTAAGACACGAGCATCACTGATAGTGGTCAATAAGCGGGTAGTTGACCTCTTGGATCTGTCTTATTCATTAAACAGTTCTGCTGTGAAGTGCTCGACGACAGGCTACCAAGTCACGGGGCTTATCCGTACTGCGGATGATCAAAATTGTGATTGCATGTTTTCTGATCATATCCAGCAATGTTTCTCAGACCTTTTGAGAAGTTTTAGTGCAACGTAAATAAAGTACTATTATAATTGTCACTAGCTTTTTTAAAATGAGTCAGTCAATGAATTAATGTTTTTACAGTGAGCCAATGGGAGATATCTTCAGCATTCTCTTTTTAGCCCGAATTACTTGAGGTTTGCTACAATCCACCTATGTGCCTTTAGGCACATTAGAAAGGCTTGAAGTGTTACCCAATCAGCATAAATTCTAGATTAACAGCAGTGAGCCTGTTTTTATGTCATAAAGTGTTTTTGGGGGAAATATCACTGTAAAATCTAAAATTATACTTGTAAAAAAAAGCAAATGGACTGTGTTTGTCAAAGTGTCATAGCAGCTTACTATGTGCAAAAAAAGTAAAAAATAAAGCTATATTTAAAACTTACAGAAGGCCGATAGACATTTTTCTAGACATTAATAAAGCTGTATTATTGTATTATTGTCCTTTGTATTATTTTCAGCTTACATCTAGTTTACAGGACAAAATCCATATGATAATTCACTAAATTTAATTATATGAATATTAATTACAATAATTTATTAAAGATTTATTCTTAATATCCGTCTCCATTTCATTTAAAAAAAACAGAAGCTTGTCCTTTTTGTGGTTGGTTTGGTATAGTGGAAGAGCTGTTGATGGCTTCAACTTCATGTGGTAGTCCATGAATCGCTTGACTAGCATCACTTGCCAAGTTAGGTAAGTATCTGTACTGAATTTAAGGACAACAGTTAAGTTTTTAACAGAAGTTTCTAAGCTTCTAACCCAATTATATGATCGTTTTAACCCAGTTAAAATTAATGACGATTCTAATGCTTTTAATCAAAAGTTTGACTTTTCTTAGACAATATTTGATTTGAAAAAACTTTATTTCTGTAATGCCTATTTGGATTGGCCACTTTTTCAAGGTATTACATTTGGTTTAGAAAAATAAAGTTAAAAAATGAAGCACCGTAGTATCTAGGCTCACTGCAGCCAGCCTAAAAGTGTCCGAATGTTTAAGAAATACTGGGAACTTTTTTTGATTAGCTTGGCTAAATGACAGAAGTGCTTGGAAAAGAGCTGGATTTTTCGAATTGATATGCGAAGTACGCATATGATTAACGCTAGAACTACTGCTTGAATGATGGTTGTTCGAGATGATTTTTTATATATTGCGTTAAGTATATTATTTGAGGCTATTTACTGAATTTATATACCATACCATACTATAGATTAATGTACCATAACCATACTATAGATGTTTAAATGTTTGAATAAGTTTTAGATTTGTTTTTAACACCGTCAGTACAAGAATTATAAACTGTGAAAAGGTTTTTATAAGTTTATTTTAGAAATATTTGGATCCAAATAGTTGTTATAGAAGATTCTTTTTTAAATTTTATTGAGAATTTTTCATTTGTTTGTTATAAAATGTATGCATTCATTTCTAAAAATGTTGTTATACATGTATTGATCATTTTGTATTCGAGATTAATTTTATTTGTTTTTATAGAAATGAAATAAAGTAATAGCCTTATTTCTGCAGTTTTAAATTATCATTTAAATGTTAAATCATATATGATATAATGACACTCACCAGTTCGACAATGTACGATAATATCCATTAAATATATAGTATCACAGAGGTAATCCATGAAATACCAAAGATGTGGACAGAGATTTTGCAGCTCCCAGAATACACTTCGGCCTACAATGATAATGATGTTATAAAGAACTGCTACAGATATAACTGCAAGCCATCGATAATAGAGATGCGCTGCTGGATCTAGCACTAGAGATCTGGCCAACCTTCAATAAAAATACAATATTAGTTTCATTTCTACTCTACGTACAGAGAGTATTTAAAGGAAAAAAAAATAACGAAATACTTAAGAAATTTGAAAAAATGTAAAATATAGAAAATGCCATTTTTATATCACATTTTTTTAGTATTGTTCCCAGAAATGTATACTTTAATTTTTTTCGGAATTTCTTCAAGATGGCAGTAAAACACTCAGAAATATTTCATTGCTTACATGGAAATCGGGGTGTTTTCCAATAAAAACGCTCTTATGAGATTCCTGTACCAGGGGGAAAAACCTTTTATGGTAAATATTTTCAACTACTTTAGTAATAAAAGTGTAATGGATAGAAAGAAGCAAACTCAAATAAAGCTCGCTTTTTTCTATCCATTGAAAAAATTATATTAGATGCATAAAAATTAGATCCATAGAGTTTCTTTTTTCTTTTTCAGAATGTCAAAATGCTAACAAATAATGGAAGGATTACTTCCAAACTGCGATATCTTAAGCAGACCTGCCATCATTTGTTTGCCTTTTGGTATTTTGAATGAAAATAAATTTAGCATTTAGCTGGCCAGGTGGCCGAGCGGTTAGCGTACCTGACTGCGAAGCCATAGGCTGCGGGTTCGAATCCCGCTCTGGGCATGGATGTTTCTCCCTCTTTCTTTGTGTTGTCTTCTGTTGTGTGTGTGTATGATGTGTGAATGTGGCCCACCCTATAAATGGGTTTGTGGCAGTGTGGCGTGGGCAATGTTGCTCGCCTCCGTGACTTTGGTTCACAGGTGCCCACTGGCCAACGCGAAATGAGCAACAATTCCGGCATAGTATAGGCAAAGAATCAAATTCAGTGCCTGTCATTGGAAAAAAAAAATTAGCATTTGAAATCTCATGGTTTTATATTTGGTATATTTGAGCTCAATTTTTTTTCTCCATCTTTCAAATTTTAAATGACTACATTAAGAGAAAAAATATGGTCAAAATTAACTATGGTTATGCGTTAATTCAACGCCCGCCTTTCATCGTACACAATCTGTCGAGGGACAATCCACCCTGAACACAATTCACCGCAGTGATAATTCATCGTGAGCACAACTCACCGCAAAAGCAATTCCTCGTAGGCATCATTCGTCGCTAGCACAGCTCATAGTGGGCAAAATTCATCGTGAGCGCAATTCATCTTAGGCACAATTCGTCTTGGCAAAAATTCTTCTTGGACACAGTTCGTCGCTACGAAAATTTCAATTGGGCACAAATCGTAGTGGGAGCAACTTATTGTAACGACAATTCGTAGCGGGTAAAGCTCGTCGTAGCAATAATACGTCATGAGTACAATTTCTTGAGGTTTTGATGGAAAATTGCATCGAAAAATGTACCTTACATTTTCAAATAGTTCCATATAGAGATGAAAAAAAAATTGTGTAATAACCAAAGAAAAAGAAAAGAAAAGAAGAGAAAAAAAGGGAAGAAATGGGACTAACTTGAATAACTTTTAATTTAATGATCGGATTTTCACTTTCCAAGACTCAATCTTAATGTTTCGAAAGGGGGACTTCAATAATGAGATATTTTAAATTACGAAATCAGACGCGAAAAAGCACTTTTTCTGAAAAAAAAAAACAAATCTTTTTACGTCTACGTTTTTCGTACGTTTTGCGTACTTCGCTATATTTCGTGAACTTTTTAAATGAATTAATACATCTTTGCCCACAATTTTAAAATTCGTTTGTCCAAAGATAATTCCATGAAAAAAATGATTTTTACTAAATCATTATTACTTTTCTATAATTTTACTATTTTTAATATTAACCACTTATTAATTATGAATAAGGCATACAATATTTCACATCAAGATATAAAATTTCAAAGAATGCAAGCTTACATGGCAAAGTACAAAATTTGAACAAAATAGGTGGAATAGTTTCTGAGAAAATGAATTTTGAAATTAAGACGTTTTAAAGATATTTTTATTCAGAGAAAGTACTTTTTTTGTGTCTGATTTTTAGCTTAAAGTATCGTCTGCACTAATTAATTAGCATATTTGAGGTTAACCTATTGAACCATTCAGATTGCGTTCTAGCACGTGTAGATACCATCATTAGATCAAAAAATATGCAGGGTGGTGCATAAGTACATGTCAAAAGAAGTATTTTCTATACACTTTTATATTTTGAATTATTAATTTCATTGGCAGTCTCATTCGTTTCAACGCGAAAAAATGCATGCCACTTATGTCACATAGATGCCACTTATTTGAATTGCAAGACTAGGGTCTATTTACTGTAATATTCCGTACTCATGAGTCTTACAAATTCACTCATAACACTCATTCACTCACAATTCACTCATTTGAAAGTTCTAAGATTAGAAGAGAAATACGTGTCCTAAATGAGAGAGAGAGTCGTTTTAATATTATAGAGCTTAATAAAAAAAGATGAGAGTGCAACATTCTGAATTAAATAAGAAAATGAGTTAATTTCATGAAAATAATAATTCAAAAGCAAAATAATCTTTTTTTTTGGGTTGCGTAATTTTTGAGGAGAAATAATGTTTCAACTTAATCAATTTCACAGAACAAAGCTCACAGTAAAATCATTTAAGTTACATATATTTTTAAAAAATATTGATATTTAATAACTAAATAATTAGAGTAATTTGCATTTTAGTAAACTTTCTCACTAGGGATAAAACTGAAATTTAAATGAAACATTTTTATATTTTATTCAACAATACAAAAGTCCTTGAAAAAAGGATGTACATTTAAAAAATGCACATATTTATTCTTAAGACTTCTCTTAATACCTCTATAAAAATACTGCTACATAATTCTCTTCTTTTAAAACAATTTACATTTACAAAGCAATTTAGACCACTTAACCCAAGGTAAATATGTCCAAAAAAATGCTTGATAAAAAGAGTTTATACATCAATGGACCATTGATTAATCATTATTATCCATCTTTGTTAGCAGTTGAGTGTTGACATAAATGGCGTATTTCGTTGCTCCAATTTATTTTGGCGTGTCCAGTTCTTAAATCGCGATGAAAAGAGATTCTAATGTCTTCCTGATGAGGGTTATCCAAGCACACACCCTTCTAATGTAAACTTTCAGAGTCACCAAGTTGAATCGATGTTAATTTACGCACCATTATTCTTAGAGAAGTGGACTTAGGAAAGGTGGTGATACTTCACAATTTGTCGTGAAGCGGAAGTTTGTTAGCTTTCATTTAAAACTCAACAATTTCGAAATGTAGAATCAGTGTAAGATAGTTGTGTATGATTTGATAGTGTATGGCTTACTAAGAAGTCTTTCTGGCCAAAACTTACTTTTGAATAGATAGTGTAACTTAAGCTTTCCATTTTTAAAAAATTTTTAACCTTCCTTTTTTTTATTCGAGAAAAATAAAGATTATTTCCAATTAATTGTTAAAGGAAAATATAGATATTTATATGTTATTTAATTATATATTTTCATATGTTATTAAATATTTTGATGAATGATGAATTTTTTGTACCTTCAAACTTTATTTTTAAGATTGAAAAAATAAAAGGGCATTTCACATAAAGTAATATTTTGTATAAGCAATATTATTTTATTAAAGAAGGGACAGTTATTCTGCTTTGAATAATAATGATGACGTTTTCGAAGATGTTGATAATTATTTATATAATTATCAACATCTTAATATTATATAATTAATAGATGTTGATAGTAAAGTAGGTAAAATTAGGTTATTATGGTTTTATTGTAGTTTTGAAAATCAATTTCAGATCCATGGGATTTTATTATTCATTAAGTGTATATAAGACATATAAATTTTGAAAATCACCAGCTTTTCTCATTAATTAAGAAATAATGTGTTTAATTTTCGTTCAAATCTTAATTTGAATGGAAAATACGGCTAGTTTAATTGCTTTCTCATATTAAATAACTAAATGATTTCAAAAGTTGTGAAGTTTCTCTTCTTCAACATTTAAAAAGTTATGTTTCAAAAATTATTTAGATTGAAATATATCTATATCTTTTACCTTATTTTGCTTTTAGAAAACTCGTATAGATTAAAAATAAAATTTTAAATTATACATATTTTAAAAATATTACAAAAAATTAAATAAAGTTTAGTTTAAATGTTATTAAAATTACTTTAATATTTTGATAGCATATGCTGAAACAAAATTAAAGCATAATTATTTTTTATTAAATAAGAAAACATTGAAGTATAGCATTTTTAGTTATATTAAAAAAATGAAAACGTAATTTTTAAAAACTTTTTTGAATTTAGTAAAAAAGGACACACAGGAAATTTTGTTAGCATTTTTGCTTTTCTTTGCAAGATGAAACAGAATAAAAAGTCATAACAATACAGATAACTTTAAAAAGGCCAAAAATATGTTTCATATTGCCCATAAGTATATTTAAAGCTAAAGTAATTTTTTTTATGGATTTCGGTCTTTTTATTATTGTAATTGGTTGTTTTCTGATCTTTCCTTTACACTAATACGATTATTTGTTAAAATTATGATTATTATTATTATTAATACGCAAATACATTTAACTACTTTAAGCAAAGTGCAAGAGGTTTTTATCTTATTTCGGGACAGATTTTCATTTTTATACATTTCATATCTTTGCAATTTGCAATGGCGTATTATTTGTGATTTTCTTTATTGATTGTCAAGTTTAATTTATTATTTTGTAGAACAAGTCTTTATTATTTTTGCCAAAATCATATTTTTTGTCTGGATGTAGAAATGATATATTTATTTTGCGAAGTGCCAAAAAACGTGTTATTTAACAATTTAGTAATATACTATTATGTTACAATTTCATTTAAATAATTTGTCAAAAGCAATTAATGGTACTTTTAATATAAATAGTTGAAATTGCAACTTTTCACTGCTGTAATTTTTAATGAAGGCCCGTAAATGGTTATTAACATATATGGAACAATTCGAAATAAATGTAGGCCTTGAAGCCTAGGAACATAATCAAAACGAAGATGACAGTAG